TAAACAGAAAAGAGTTTATTTCTTGCTGTCAAAACACGTTGGTATTTCAAACCGACCCCGAAAAGAGAGATTTGGTTTCATTCCGAGGGAAGTAACCCACATTGCCATCGGTACTTATATTTTAGAATCATTGGAGACCACGGGAGTTTGTAAAGGAATATAACCATTTCTGTGCATGCGTAGATATATTCACTTATTATACATGTACAATATTAATAGAAAAGGGACACAATGCGATTTAATCAATACTTGCATAGTCGCACATTTTAATGCCTTTATAAACATAACAGATGGGACATTTGGTCAAAATGTCGAGATGTCTCGCTTTGTCACATTTAGTTTGTTTTTGTGAGGGCACTAACACGGCAATGTCCCTTCTAGGATTCAATATAATTCTACATTGACCTCGGTAGGGAAGATTGAGCTAATATTGGAGATTCTGGAATAAACAGTTTTAATTCTTATGACAGAGAGCCGTGCAACTTTGGCACTATTTGCCAGTACAAATAGATCCGTTAGAATCTTATTTACCAGTGGGTGATACCATACTGATCAGTATCTGCACAATTCCTCTAACCATCCACCACAAATCAAAAGAGGAATTATCGCCACCTTAGCCCGACGTGCCGTCAACATCTGTTCCACGCCACAACACCTACAAACTGAACTCAACCACCTCCGCCATGTCTTCACTAACTTCAACAATTATCCTACCAGCCTAGTTGAACAAACAATCAACAGCATCCTCAGCCCCAGAGAGCGGCCTCCACGACAACAGACAGCCCCGTTTGTCATCCGTCGTCCCTACATAGGAACAGCCAGCCACCAGATCCACAGACTGCTCAAACACCACGCCAACATTGATACAGTATTCCAGAGAGGCAGGACAATCCAGAACATCCTTAGTGCCAATGGCAAGCCCCCTACATCAAAGAAAGAAGACCCAGCTGGTGCCGTATATCACATACAATGTGACTGTGGCGACTCCTATGTAGGAGAAACATCCAGGCCCCTACCCATTAGAATAAAAGAACACACGACCTCAGTACAAAAAAAAGACTCAAAATCAGCCTTCTCCGACCACACCCAAACCCACCCCGACCACAACATCCAGTGGAACAACATCAAGATCCTGGCCAACAATCAATCAGACTACAAAATCAGGAAACTCCTAGAAGCCATCTACATCAAAAGGATCCAGCCAGCAATGAACAGAGATCAAGGCTATTACATCCCGCCTGCTTACCATCACCTTATTGTTAAATCCCTATGTCCGTCCAATTAATCCACTGGCTTCCATCATCTCTATCAGTCTGCTTGCTGACTCTGTGTTCATTAGTCATCAACTGGCTTCCAGTTATCTTAATCAGCTCTCTGTGTCCATCAATCAATTAACTGTATAAACATTGATGTTAATAAGTATATATACCTATGTTGTTTAGCACTATCCATCACTTGCTTGATAAAGGTGTTAGGATCTACACCGAAACGTCGCACCAATTATAATAAAGAACTGGTCTTACTTCATCACTTGCTTGATAAAGGTGTTAGGATCTACACCGAAACGTCGCACCAATTGTAATAAAGAACTTCTAAATGGCACTGAAAGAAGTCATGGTGTACTGATACGTTGAGTTGTATAGGTATTAGATATAGCTTCAGTGGCAATGTTTAAGAAGGTCATGATCATTCATAAAATGATTAGCCTTAATTTAGTACTGCAAAAGAAACTAAACGACAGCCTCATTGCCTTGGAAAATTGCTTTTGTAAATGAAACTATCCACAAAGGGAGATATAGCTTTAGGTACGGTAGGAAAGTGATCAGTGCGGCACAAATCACCATGAACTGACCATGAACTGAAAAAAAGGTCATAAAAAAGTGTCAGAAATGGGTAAATCCAACGCTGAGAACAAAATCCTGGATTGAAGTATGTGTAACTTCCATCATTAGGAAGGCATAAACTATGCTTATCAAGTAATTCTTTTGTCACATTTCCTATATCATTATGGTCGGACGAACCCAATACGATTTGTGACCATTCAAGTCTCCCATAATCAAAGACGGTTTGGGATGCTGGTCAATGAGATTATCCAGATCCCTGAGCAGATGATGGATGTATATATAAGGAACACAGAGTTATTGTTGTAATATACAAAGTTATACGCACTGCAACAGCCTGAAGGTATTTAGTGCAATAGGGCTTTGAGGAGATCCCTGTTTTACTGGTATATGTTTGCCACCATACGCCTTACCATAAGAAAGTCTTACAAACGAACTATATGTATCCTACTGATGTAAATCAAATAGCTGACCCTCTCGTGTTTCCTGGAGACTAAACGCCACGTGGTTCTTATCTTCGGCTAGAAGGTTCATTTCTTCAAAATTAGCTTTAATTCCTCGACAGTTACATTGTATGATATTTTTATTCATGGAGGGTGAACAGGTGATCTACCTCTACCCACTTTCTTTTCAGAAGTGTGGCCATGTATGTAACTTTTGGTGGGTTTTAGGGCAGTGACATGAGATATTTTAGTTGGTCCTGCAGAGGAATTAGCAGGAACTTTCTTTCGTGCATCAACGTAGCCAATAGTTTGCTCAGACTTAACCCCTTACACAGCCGACTCAAATTCGAACACAGGACGCTCAGGGGAAGATGCCATGTGTGCTTCTGTGCAGTGAGAACATTTGAGGGTAGCACAACAAGCAAAGCCTTCATTTCTACTTCAATTTTGAGCATGACCAAACTGTTGGCATTTGAAGCAGTGGCTAGGACATGATTTTCACAAATCAATCCTCATAACTTCTTTGAGAGGCATTTAGAAAATGCAGTACTGAGTACTGAGTTGTTCATCCATAAATCATTTCCTTACTTCTCAATCCTCATAGCAAAGCAACCTACCTGGAAGGTTAGGTGAAGCAAACGTGATCAAGAGATAAGTGTTGGAAGGTAAAATGTTCCCATCTTCCTTAAACGTGAAACGTTTTGCTTCAATAACACCTTGATCTCTTAGCTCAGAAACAATTTCATCAACTGAGAGGTCATTTAAACTACGAGCACGATCACGGATGATCCCCTTATTGAAGTTGAGTGATTTATGAGCATAACTTTCGATCTTGATATCTGCCGGTTTTGTTCATTCAATTCAATTCGGTTTATTTCGTAGGTGTAGGCCATCGGTCCATAGTTACATTTGTATTACAATGGACGTGGTGTACACAGATCTTATTGTTCTGACAATAATGTACTACGAAGTGCCATCGCTTGACAGATATAAAATATAGCAAAACGTTTAATTACTTTACAATCAGTTTTAGACATAATGATAATAATTTCTTTGTTTGGTCGCATATTCACAATATTCTTGTGGTAAGTGATCCACCCGTGTTATAACCGGAGCAAACTAACAAAACATGATACTCGTGTAGTTCATTCAAAAAGGGTAGCAGATTGTTTATGAGTTTTGCGTTCCACACGCGCCACACTTCAGTTTTGTAACATCAGACATTCCCTGCTTTAATTTTTGTTGCTTTTTTTTCTAGTAGAAAGGGTAAATATGATGTTAATTTGTGTTCTTCAGTGGCCTCAAGCACAATGGACTTGAGCCAAGTGTCTTTCTCAGAATATCACAAGCGGGCAAGTGTTTCATCATCGGAAAAGTTCACTTTCTGAATCAGTACTTTTTAAAATTTGTTTAAGGTGCCATTGTAATAAGAATATGTTTCAACAATCATATTTACCGACCCACGGAGCGCCTTTACCGGGGATGTTAAATGTCAGTGGATCTCTAGCAGACTAACACCAAGAGGTTACAGGATAGATATATTCCAGCAGTGTAACGTACTAGATTCGCCCGTGAGCAACCGCCTTCTGGGCATCAGACTCGAGGCTATGTTAAATTTGAAATTTCTCAAAATTTCTCAAAATTCAAGAAAAGAAAGAAAACGAAAAAATCCAAACCAAGTGAGTGAGTGAGTATGGTTTTACGACACATTCTACCCCGGATCCCAACATAGACAAACACAGCAATTAAAGCATTATGGCTCGTAATCTTCAACACAGATACGTTCAGAGCTGGTATCGTCGGTTATAATTGTAGTGCGAAAAAAGATAGGTGTTTTAAGTCGCATCATTGAAATCAGCTAATTGCAAGACCGACACATGGTGTTATGGTCTTTTTTTATATTCAAAAAGAGAATAATTGCAAATGTCTCACGACTATTTATAGTAACGTACATAAACCTGAGGCGCAAAAGCAATAATACCTCTCACTTGACTTTATAATATGTTTAATTTTCAATTGAAAATATGTTAAGTTAGCGATATTTCATCCAAAAGAAATGAACTGGCGCTTAGTCAGCACTCAAAGAATAATTGTACGTGGTTTTTTCAAAATATAATTTGATTTAAAACTGTTAAAAAACATTTTGAAACATTCCATAATACAAAACTACTGATGGGTATCTTAGACATCTTTGAAACTCAATAAATTTGCATTCTTTCGGCACAAATTTACATTTCAAACATTGTAGAGGTCAAGTGAGTACAAATTCATTTCTTACACATTAGTCTTCATTGAACCAAATTATTTTAACACAAAATTACCCACCCACAGATTACTTTTTAAAGACGGTTACAGGAATAAGTGATGGTTAAATACACATAATCAAATTTAACAAAAGTTCTTTCAAATTTCAATTATATAAAACAAATACTATTTTTGCCCACAAGTTTCCTAAATGTTTCGAACCTTGAAATGCATGATTAAGCATCCCTACTTGTGCTGTAGGAAATTTTCTAGGTGTCGTATCTAGAGTGGAAACACACCTGTAACGTCCATCTCTGTATGACAAACATTGGTATATTCTATGATATGTACTTCGACAACAGCTGGTTCAACATCGAAAACAAACCCTGTGGTATTTGAACCACTGTTTAAGTAGAACAAAATCCCATGGCAGATCTTCCACCGAAATCCATCTCAGTATAAATACCCCGTCTCCCTCCTGTTTGAACGCCAGAGCCTTGACAGCTCCACACACAGCAGAATGAATTGCCTTCCCATACTAGTCTGCCTATCACTGGCAGTGATGGTGAGTTGCGAATATCTCTCCATTAAGTATCAGACAGAGAATTATGAAAGTGCTTTAAAGGCTGAAAGTCAATCTACACTGCGACACTTCAGGCCCCGCTACAGCTACGTCGACTACTCGGGAGACTGCTGCCGTAACGGTAACAACAACTGTGGATGGGCTCGATATTGTAAGTAATCAGTGCGGTTATACATATATTATTACATACAATTCACGAATCTTGTATAACAAAGTAACGGCTAAAGCCAACTGATTATTCACCCCAAACAGACGCTCATGCCAGATCAATAGTTTCTTTTCGCGAACACTTGGTATTATCACTGTTTATTAAAAAGAGCACAGAATTTAAATTACCTGTTGATTGTCTTCTCAAAGCCTTTGATGTTCTAATCTTGCCTATTCTAACCTATGGTTGTGAAACTTGAGACGAAAATCATTCAGTATTGGAAAGAGTACATTTGAAATTCATTAAACATGCCTTCAATCTTAGAAACTCAACACCAGGTTATATGATGTTTGGTGAATTTGGGAGATTTCAAATAAGTAGAATCATATATAAGAGGATGATTTCGTTTTGGCAGAAACATATAAGTAATTATCAACCTGTGATAAAATTTTCAACCCTAATATTGAAATACATAAATTCTATAAATAATACTAATAACAATAGAAACAACTGGATGGAATTCATTAAGAGCTTATTAAACAGGTGTGGTCTTTCTGTAGTTTTTAATCAACCGGATTCTGTAAGTCACGGCTGGTTAGTCTAAAAAAAAAATTGGGGGTATATATGTATGTTATTATTGTTGCTCATATATCACCGGCTGGTTGTTTGAGTTAATAAAGAAATTGAATTGAATTGAACTGAATTGAATTGATAATGGTTATAGAACACATGCTCATGGTTTAGTCGCAATTGTATGGACTCTTTCAGCAAGGTGTTTATTGCTTTTAACTACGAATTAGTTTAACTCAGTGATAAGCACAGTTCGTGGTGAAAAAAAACAATGGACTGGTAATTATCCTAGTGTCGATCTAGAGCGACACGCTGCTTTTAACAGTATTCCAGTTATATCACGGCGTGTCAGCTTAATGTGGGAGGAAAGCCCGACGTGATGCAGGTCTCAGACGTTTACCACTTCTGTGAAACCCATGATAGGGACTACAAACACGGGTAGGTGCTGACAAACCTAGAAACATAATCGGGGCGAACCGGGATTCAAACCCACAATCGTAGGTCTTTGGCGTGACCAAGGGACGCAACTCTGCACAGCGAATCGCGGCGCCTTAGACGACTGGGCCACCCGTGCCCCCGTATCACTCTAGAACACTCAAGAGAGCGAAAGGTCAGTGGTTCGATACCCGACGGCGTAATACCAAAATATGATACATGATGTTACCCTGCTTGGTACTCGGCATTAAGTATTCGATGATCGGAAACCAACCGTGTAATCCAGAAATTTCAAATATTAAATAGCAGGAATCAAAAACGGAATAAAACCTTCAAATGTGCGAAATTGACTTTTATCGACACTGTAAATTAAAGAGTTTTGTCTGTTCGAAATAGATGTACTATGAACTGTGACACATGCATATTGCCATGCACGACGGTTTTGACGTCGTAATACATTGACGGCATATGCGCCAATGACAACTGAATAGGCCTTGTTAGCCGAAATAGAGAAATAATCAAACACATAATATATAAGTTTGTTGCTGATAAATATTAGTCAAGTGCATTATTGAATGAATGATCTATTGATGTCGCCATCTCAAATGCCACTTTCTCAGGTGGTGATACGCAACGAGAGGTCCTGAATATTTCCAGATTTGGAAGCCTTTATAGTAGAAACGTGAACCAGATTCCATAGGGCATAAAGACCCGTAAAGATCCGGCGAAGAATAGGTCTTCAGCAACCCATACTTGCCGTAAAAAGCGACTATGCTTGTCGTAAGAGGCGACTAACGGGATAGGGTGGTCAGGCTCGCTGACTTGGTTGATGCATGTCATCGATCCCAAATGCGTGGATTAATGCTCATGATATCAAACACTGGATTGTCTGGTCCAGACACGATTATTTATAGACCGCTGTCATATAGCTCGAATATTGCTGAGTGCGGCGTTACACAACAAACCAACAAATCATAAACAGGCGTAAAAGGCAGACAAGTGATGGAAAATGTGTGAAGGCATCACGGAAATTCAGTAATATCACCACGTGTTTGCGAAAATGGTTAGCACATGTTTTATGTCCTGTTCTACCCTTTCAATATGGTGCCAGTGAGTTAGGTGGTTCAAACACTCCATGTGAAGGTCATTGCATGGGAGAGAACAGCGCATCATGTTGCCAAGCCAGGGGCAAATTGCTTTAAATGTTTAGCTATGCACCATACACGTTCTGAAATGACTTAACCAGGACTTTGATGGTGATTCTTTGATTGAGAAGCTTATTTGTAATCTTTCTTTCCGTGAAAAATAACCCGATTCAAACAGATTGCCTCACACAGTCTCATTCGTTTTTACAGTTGTCAGTCCCGTCGAATCCCTCGACGCACAAAACACACATTTTGCCGATAAACTCGTGTGTGAATATCGCGTGTCTTGTTTGTTTCAGATGCTTCCTCCTACTATGGATCCCGTTACTCCAGGAGAGGCTGCTACTATTATAAACCACAAAGCTCTGTAGTATACTGCGGATGTGTGGGACAACAACAATGTTCTCCAACAACTGTTGCCGCTACAACCACTACTACAACAGCTGCTCCCACTACTACAACAGCTGCTCCAACTACTACAACAGCTGCACCCACTACCACTACCACTACCACTACCACTACCACTACCACTACCACAACTACTACTGCAGCTCCAACAACAACAGCCACAACACGATGTGAGTTTCATAAACATTTTATTGTTCTATATTTATTTACCACCAGAACAAGCGTGGAGATTCATGGGTAGAATTGTTTCCAGTAACCCTAATGTGCTGCTTACGGACCATCGTTATGATATGGATCGATGTTCATGCTTTCAGTCACTGGTTTGTGTTGCTTATCAGACCAACCACTCCTGTGCCTGAATATTTACAGACATGATGTAGCTGGAATATTGCTGATGGCGGGGTCAAGAACATACTCACTGACTTATGTGTACAATTTCAGTTTGTCCAGCTGAGGCCTCAACCGCCCCAACCGCCACCACGAGGCTACTGAACGGCCTTGCTATCGCTGGATGCGATGAGTTCCCAGGGCTTGTGGCCATCCAAATCGGTGGAGCAACTGTATGCACTGGAGTCGTCACCAGTGGCACGACCCTGTCTATACCCAGCAACTGTGCTGCTTTTGCAAACGGAGCAGAGTAAGCTGGCTATATGATACTCATTACTATTAAGATATTATTATTAATAGGAGGTAGTGTTTTATTAGTGTAATTGTTGGTAATAATATCCCGCTCAATAGTACCATTTAGCATTACGCAGATTACCAGAAGGGCAATCACAGTGGCACCCTCCTGATCTGCGCCAACAGATAAGGAAGTAGAGAACCTAAGGCACCAAGATCAGTGGGGAGTCGACTAACTTTACATTTGTGATGCAGGCACGACATTTCACATGCTAGGTTCGCTTATTTGACAATTTTCCTTACCTTGCAGATCATATTGCTGTCAAAAGGGATAGAATGGACAATGTTGCATTGCAAATACTTGATTACCTATCGTTATTGTCGATCTTCGCAAAAAATCCTCTCAAGCTCTACAATTTCGTCCCTATAGTTATAGTTAAGGATCATGTATGTCACAGCACAAATATGTGTCAAATGTTTTTACGTGTATAAATCCAATAGTGCAACATGTATCATTGAAATGCAAACACCACAGGCGTCGTCGTAATTGAACCCTTGTTCGACGAGCCCCATTGGACGGTGGGGCAGCCTACTGGTTAAAAGACAGGGTTTGATTCCCCACATGTGTACAATGTCTGAAGCCAACTTCTAGCTTCCAACTCACTCACTCACAACGAAAAGACAGCACTAAAATGTCACATTGTCCTCACGGGTAGTCTCCTTCCTTCACCCAGCTCTGATCTGGTTTCGGACACATTCTGAAAAAGCAGCCAATTCAACTGTATATTTTTCTATTCGTAGTGTTGTGGCTCAGGATGGAACCGTTATCGCAACAGGCATCACAGGTAAGATACAGGTCACTTCACAATGATGTGTGTTTAGGTTTTTGCTTACCCTTTTTATTCACATGAAAAGAACATAAGTTATCGCAAGTACGCTGTTGATCCCCCGAGTATTTACATACATGATGGTTCGTTCTTTTGTACATGTTGTTGTAGAAATTAGAAGTAGGGGAACAAATATTTTGTTTAAAAATGTACGTCTTACCTATCTTACCATGGACAGAAATATGTAGTTCCGCATTTCCAGATTGTATCAACTCAATGTACAGGTTTCCTTACATTTGGAAATTTCAGCAACCGCAGGAGGAGTAGGTGGCCCTGTTGAAGTGACCTTACCTACAGCAGTGACGTCAAACAGCTGCCCCGGCATCGCCTGTGTCTATTCCAGCACTATGGCAAGCGACATCCTCCTGGATACCTGCAAGGTTGCTGCTGCAGGATTCTCTGATAATGCCGGTGAGCAGCGATCTCAGAAGTGTGGAAGATGCGTAGTGACGCATGTGTAAAAGTGGGCGTCAATGATGCAAGAAACGATCTCGGAATTTTAGACAGTGGGGTGAAGTGAAATCGGGTATACATCGTGTTCAAGATTATTTCACTTGCATGCACGTGTGCGTGTGGCTGTTTGTCCTAGTCCGGATTTATGCCTGTGTTGTGCTGCTAGCACTCTGAGATAGAATGCCACACCTTAAGATGGATTGCTTAGGCACATTATACTGATTCCTTGTTTTAGCCCCACGGGTAAATATTTCGTAAGTTAGAGCTTCACCTCTGGAAGAAAGAGCCCCAAACTATCTGCAAGTCCACAACCCTTCATTTTCCCAAGTGATTATTTGCTATAAACAATCTCATCAAACAACCCTCCAATCCCACCTACCCAGCTGGAATATCATATGCTCAACCTCGCACGTCTCCTTCTGCATCACAGGTACTTCAACTCCTGCCTTCGAGTACCTGGATATCCCCAGTCTGCAGCCAACCGACACGTGTCAAGCACTTCTTTCAGCCAGCCCCACTTCCGCTGTCTTTGACTTCACGAACACTGCCATCACATATAACTGCTTCATCAGTCCCAGTGGCTCTACATGTGCGGTATGTATATTGTTTCCCTTATTTCCAGGCTGAATGGTTTCATAGTAAAGCCTCTATCTCGAAACGTTACTACCTTCTATACCTAAAACCCTTTAATTCTCATCGAAGAGGAGGGGCGGTTGGGTTGATCATTTGTTATTTTAAATGCGTAGTGTATTTGTATTTGTGTCTATTGTTTACCTTTCCTCATATGTGACATTGGTGACATCCCCATCACTGACTTCTGTGCCAGAAGACCATGAATTTGTTAGAGTAGGCTATACGAACTCAATGGCAATAACAAGCATTGGCACGAAAGGTTAAGTTCCAATCAATTCTGAATACCAGGATCTGAATTTAAAGGTCCGAACAAACTCTGCAATGCAATACGATCACAATTCAACAATTATACATAATTAGTGGTGTCGTTACTTCCAGGGCGACTTCGGTGGACCAATATCTTGCAGCCTAACGACTGGAGAACAGGTGGTTATTGGGCAGATCGAGAATGGTGACTGCACGGCCGGTTCTGCTGTAGGATTCTACAACCTTGAAGCAGCGAGTGTTCGTGTGCTTGCAACAAGAAAGGACCAAATCCAGCTCGGATAAAAATATTGTTTTATCAATTTGTCTGGTATTCCATGTTGAATAAACAGCTGAACATTTACAGTACCATGTTGTAATTCTAACTATGTGCATGTATATCCAATGGCATACTTTGTATAATTTGAGGATTCCTAGAGCAAAAGCTTTTGGCAATGAAACTGGAAATGATCAAATTGACAAAAGATGCTTTATTCGGTCAAAGTCATATAGTTAGGTGGTAGGATATTTACAAGTTCAATCTATCTGATAAACAACTGCTACAGTAATTTCGTGTTAAATAGTCCTCAATCATGAAATAATACGTCCCTATGGACGTCCCTCTGTCTTAGCTGGTAGTTTAAACCATTGGTGCCATATGCAGAAAGGAGATACCTTTGTGACGTTTTTAGTTCACGTGTTTAGTTCATGTCTTCTTGCCTATGAGTATCACTCGATGATTTCCTTTAATGTCGAACCCCAAAATGACTCAAGTCAGACTTTCACCACTTTGAAAATACCCACGACTACCAAAGGTTATAATAGGGACGGAAGCTGGAAAGCAACACTGCACAGCTATTTAATCATATGAAGTTGATATATTCGTCGAGATACAAAACCCCAATTTTAGTTCTTATGTCGCGTTTTATTGTTTAAATGTACAAGAAAACACAATGTGACAACATATGACAAGACTCAAAAGTTATTCGAGATTATTACAATAATGTAGCGACTTTCATGTACGCGTGTGTGGCTGTTTGTTCCAGTCGGCCATACGTCGATTTTATAGTACCAGCCCAGTGAGATCTCATGCTGCGTCACGTCGCCTTTCTTTTCGCTATTAGCGCTACATTGTCGTGTTGTCACATTCGCGCATAGTGGCACTGCTTATTTCACAATGCCAACCAAGACTGATCTATAACAATAGATGAATAAGTCAAGGGTTTAAATTCAGACACTTCATCGAAAAAAAATAGATTGTCCCAAAACATGCTTGAAAAAATGTATTAATGCCTCAGACTTGAAAGAAAAGAAATTGTTCCATGCCAAGGTGGTTTTTACCAAAAACAACAGTTTAGGCTTATAGTTTTGATATACTTCTGGTTTTGCAGCAGTAACTGAAAAAGTATTCATGATCAGCCTCAAAACAAAATCCAATATAGGTTTCTGTCACGCTCAGGGTACGCAACACTGCACAGAGTGTGTGATTGAGTGAGTTCAATCATTAAATCACCGCGGCACAGCTTGATGCGGAAGGAGAGCCCGAAGTCATGCAAATCTTAGATTTAAACACATTGGTAAAACCCACAAGCACAGGAAAGGCGCTGGGGTGCCAACCTATGCCTAGTTGCCCCAGCTCTGCACAGCAAATACACCGCCCAGGATGACTGGCACAACCGTACCCTTCCTTCAACAATGTGATTAGTTATTAATAAAAATATATTAAACAGAAAAGAGTATATTTCTTGCTTTCAAAACACGTTGGTATTTTAAACCGACCCCGAAAAGAGAGATTTGCAATTGGTTTCATTCCGACTTATGTTTTAGAATCAATGGAGACCACTGGAGTTTGTAAAGGAGTATAACAATTTCTGTGCATGCGTAGATATATTCACTTATTATACATGTACAATATTAACAGAAAAGGGACACAATGCGATTTAATCAATACTTGCATAGTCGCACATTTTAATGCCTTTATAAACATAACAGATGGGACATTTAGTCAAAATGTCGAGATGTCTCGCTTTGTCACTTTTAGTTTGTTTTTGTGAGGGCACGAACACGGCAATGTCCCTTCTAGGATTCTATATAATTCTACATTGACATCAGTAGGGAAGATTGAGCTAATATTGGAGATTCTGGAATAAACAGTTTTGATTCCAATGACAGAGACACGTGCAACTTTGGCACTATTTGCCAGTTCAAATAGATCCGTTAGAATCTTCTTTACCAGTGGGTGTTCATATTCCCGCTGGTATACCAAAGGATTTGTATCCGTCTATAATTAATTTTAACTGAGACTGAAAGTAGTTCAGCACATTTACTAAGTATATATGGGACAGTGGATCACTTTGTCTGACTTTATTGTTGCACTGCAGCTATTTTTGTGGAAAAGTCTGATCCAGCATCGCTTTGTTGGATTGACGTTAAAGGCCTCTAAATCTTTAATTTTGAATTCTCACTCAACACTATTGAAAGCCTTTTCAAAATCTACATTAACAAGCAAGGCTGATAATTCATGTAATTCACAATTAGTCATAATTAGTCATAATAATTCATAACTTTCGTGTATTTCCCCTGATAAAACTACGCTTGTGGAAGCCGGTTTGTGTGTCACTAATTATAATGTCGGACCGGACATGTTATATCCTGTGGGCAGTTGCTCCAGACGCTATCGTATTCCGCATGCCTCTGTGCAGTACTTTGAATGCAATTAAATGTTTATCTGATCAATATTGAAATAAAAAAAAATCTCTTTTTTTCTTGCAAATCATTAAAGTATTTAGCGCTAAGCTTAAAAGTACGCATTGCTGTGTGTACACTGATATGACCAAGGAGCTCTTAAATTGGATGCCAAGTCAAATTAAGTGGTAAGCCGGATGCCTAATGTGTGTGCGTGCGTGCGTGCGTGCGTGCGTGCGTGCGTGCGTGCGTGCAGGGGTGTGGAAGGGTGGGGGTGGTACTCTCCTCTGTGTCGAGAGCCACAGAATAAAAGAATGAGGAATGAAGAAATATGAGGCCCACGAATTTGGGTTTCTTTCAACATTAGTACATGGGCCTTCATCCATAGTTTGCCCTTTTCGCCCGACTGGTTATTCTCTTGCTATGACGTCTTATGTTTATTTGTCCTTTTCTAAAACTTAAAGCCATTCTCAAGAGACTATCTTGAGCGCACACTTTTACAACGACATGACATCTTAAAATGGATCGGGTGGCCAGGCTCGGTGACATTGTACCCTGACAGCGTAGATCGTTGTTCATAATATCGATCACTAGATTGTCTGTTTGAGACCCAACAACTTGCAGGCCACTATCATATAGCTAGAATATTGCTGGATTGTCTGGTCCCGTTTCAATTATTTACAGACCGCCGTCATATCGCTAGAATGTTTCTGAGTGCTGTGTTAAAGAACAAACATTATGTCGTATTTTATACCCTTACCTGTCGACTCCGTATTACATGTAGATATTAATAGTTACGTTGGTCCCTTCAACTTCAACACAACGGTGTTTGACTGCAGTAATAAGAAAGGAAATGCCCGAGTCGCCTCCTAAGACCAGCACATGTTGCCAGGGACCTGTTCTAACCCGAAGTCCCCACGTATTTTAAATGGTAAATGTACACGCCCTGATTGAATTATCTAAAGTGAGTGAGTCAGTTGGGTTTAACGCAGTTTTTAACAGTATTCCAGTCATATCACGGCGTGTAAGCTTAATATGGGAGGAAAGCCCGAAGTGACTCAGGTCTCAGACGTTTACCACTTCGGCGAAATCCACGAGCACGGGTATGGTGCTGACAAACCCAGAAACATAATCGGGGCGAACCGGGATTCGAACCCACAATCATCGGTTTCTGGCGTGCCTAAGGGACGCAACTCTGTACAGCGAATCGCGGCGCCTTAGACGACTGGGCCATCCGTGCGCCCGAATTATTTAAACAATGATTTATTTTAAACTAATCTACATTGAATTAATGTCACGATGAAACGTAACAAACATGTAGATGAACGAGCGGGAAAGTGCCCCCGTGCAATGCAATATTTATCATCAACCAAACAAAGGTTCTGACATATTCCAAACTCTCTCTTCGACGCCACACACACACACACACACACACACACACACACACACACACACACACACACACACACACACACACACACACACGCCATGTCCCGACGAACATGAAAGGCGTCATGCGTCATATGCACTCTGGAAAATACAACAAAAAACGCCAAGGGCGTATGAAAATGACTTAGAAGGGGACCAGGTTTTCTTTTTATCGGGAAGTGGTGTAATCGTATACCAGGCACTGAAATGGTTAAGTTATCAGTCATTAGCGTATTACGTAAATGATGTAAATGATGAATTAGTAGAATGTTGAATGAGTGCTATTGCTATTAACAATGTTGTCGTCATATTATTACGGGAAACACAAGAAATGGTATTCACACGGAGACTGATCAGACATTACCAGATTACTTAAATGATTTAAACACTGAATGCCGTCAATGGCACGTAGCTATTGAAAATATTACTGTTTGAAGGAATGAGAGAGTAGGATTTTACGCCCCTGATCAGGCCATATCACGGCGGGGAACGCTTGAAATGGACATATGTGGGGAATCGAACTCAAATTGTCGAAGTGGCGAGCGAACGCTTTAACCACTGTGCTGCACGTTTCCCGATTGGTACCGCTGCTCAACAGTGACAGACAATCCAGAATAATTCATTATCATAATATTACGTCACGTAATGTAAACACCACACGCACGCACGCACACACACACACACACACACACACACACACACACACACACACACACACACACACACACACACACACAAAAACACACACACAAAAACACACACACTCACAAAAACACACAAACTCACAAAAACACACACACACACACAAAAACACACCACACACACACGCCATGTCCCGACTAACATGAAAGGCGTCATGCGTCTGGACGATACAACAAAAAACGCCAAGGGCGTATGAAAATGACATAGAAGGGGACCAGGTTTTCTTATTATCGGGAAGTGGTGTAATCGTATACCAACCGTACATCACAATGAGATCCAATACAGGTTGTCTGTCGTCGAATAACGAATTTCAACGCAAGCATTGACAACGTTTCATGAACACACATCTCATCTGCTGCTGTTGCTGCTGTGCAATCATCTAGTACACGCACGTCATCTTGTAGGTTAATTCTGCTGTCAAACCCATCAAAAGGAGGGGCGAGGTTTTCTCTTATGTGAGATTCGTTCTATCTAAAACACATGTTATATCAGCGATAAAATGAATGTTTTTAACACTACATGACATGTTTGCATGACTCACAATTTGAAAAAAGTACAATCATTACAGTTATTTACATGTATTTATGCAACTGTTGCAAATATTGACCAACACATGCAACTATGGGCTGATTGTATAACCAGCCGTGTATTTCACAAGCCGATCCTCCACAGATAGATGTATTTAAAGCAGTCAGGCAGGCGTACGACAAGGTGGACTCCTCTCTCATCACGCATCACGACAATGAAGTGTCTCCTTATACTGATCGTCCTAGGGTTGGTGGCTGCAGCAAGTGCCTTGACCAATAACCAGAAGAGGGCCATATTGGAAAGGGAGATTTCCCAATCTCAAAACAGGCATCTGTCTTGGCCCGGATCAAGCCTCAGCTATGGATGGGGACAAAAGTATAGACCTTTCATGACGCTCGGCTTTACGGACAGTTCTGGGTTATGCTGCGCTAACAACATCGGTGACTGTAAATATGCAAGATCAAGCTGTACGTAAAACACATACAAATTCTTGTATCTACATTGCACATGTGGGGGTTGAATGAATTAGGTAATTTGTCTTTCGTGCTTCATTCCAAGTATAGGGTCTCAGCATTGAGTAACGGGTCCCTACGATAACGAGAATTTTCATATATTTAATTCTACAATGAAGGTTAACATTTATTTAGGCCATTAAAAATGACATTTTCTTTAAAATGAGAAATCGCAGTTATGATTGATGACGATTATGTTTTATGATCGCATCTTGTTTTTTTTAACCATAAATATAAATTAGATATCATTAGATTCTCTAAAAATTCAGCTTTGTTCGTTATTTGTAGGTGGTATTGTGTATTCAATGTGAGGAATATTAATATTAATATTATATATTTTCCGGCATTGAATACCAGACAGCATCCATGATTGCAAGGACAGTGGGCGCCTCAGTAATAAACGGTCACATCTAAATAACTGATTGACGAACAGAAAGCGGTCGTATGTTTTCGCGGGTGGTGGTTGCAGTGTATACAAACCCGTGAAGGTTCGAGTATGTTAACTTAATTTTTTCTTCGCCACTTTGAAATCGAAAGGGTACACGGCTCATTCAGTACATTCATTCAACCGTTTACTACAAGGGAAAGAAGAATGGCATTAACAATAATATGTTCAGATAATCAATGATAAACAGCTTCTGTCGCATCCCATCAAAACGTTCATCGCTACAGTATTTACGACCTTATTGCTTTACCGGCCATATGGAAATTCTTTGGCTTGAAATTCCTGATTTCTGTCAGTCGATTCATCATTGTGTCTTGAATCAGTGTGTCCTCTACGATAACCGGTTCTCGTACTTCTCACGCCAACACTCAACAGAAAGTAATTGTACGAAGCTCTATTTTCCGGTGCTTGATATTCTGCGACTTGGTCTTATATTGAAGTTGCAAAACTTATTGAACGCCCCTCGTATATCCCTAGTGCATCAATGTTGATAGTTTCTCACCTAGGCTCGGAAACTTACTTCACTCGGGGCAGATACTTCGTGATTCCTCGTAGTTTGTAGATTATTCTCTAAATAATGTATGTATCCATGATGTTTTTCAGATGGAAGATATTTTGCGCCTCGGCCATTTCATAACGACACACCAGGACGATTCTTTTTTCGCGAACGAGGACAAGGTGTGAAAAGATCGTGTGTGTGGGCGTGCAAATGTTCCTCATATCCTGGCGACTGTACAGCTGCTGATACAACTACCACTGCTACAACAACTACCACTGCTACAACAACTACCACTACTACAACTACAACTACTCCAATTGTAACAACTACAACCACCACTGCTACAACCACCACCACAACAACAACTACGACTACAACTACAACTACCACTACAACAACAACCCCTACTCCAAGATGTATGTTTTCTTGTATTTTGTATATATAGTGGACCCTACATTGGTCTTCAGCAACCCATGCTCGTTGTCTGAGGCGACCAGTGAGGTTCGGTTGCAAATGCATATCATCGTATCCCAGTTGATTAGATCGATGCTCAGGACGCAAGTCACAGTATTGCCGGCATTTGGATGGAATATTTTTGAGTGCGGCGTTATAAAGAAACAAACATGCACATTATTCAGCGGAATACGTTATGTCCGCATTGATGTGTATGCCTCAAGGGGTCAACATTTAATTGTAATAAGTTCTCATAGTTACCTACCAAGGTCAACTGGTTATAGATTCGTGACCACAAAGTGATAGTAACGGTACAACTGTCGAAAGTTCCACATATGAAATATTATGTTGTTTTTTTAAATATTATATATATAATACTGAAAAGCATCAGGTTGTACCAGTGAATCTTGTGCATTTCAGTATTCCATTTACGTCCGTCTTAGACATGTTTTATATTGTACAGCAATTAATTTTAGAATGATTTATTATTTACCTTGACAGTCTGTCCCGATACATCCACGACATCGACGACGACAAGACTTCTTGGTGGTACCAGCATCACAAGCTGTGAACAGTTTCCAGGTCTTGTTTCTATTGTTAATCCCCTGACCGTCGATACTACAACATGCACGGCTGTCATCACGTCTCCAACGACACTGTCGCTACCTGCCAACTGCGTGGCCTTCTCAAACGGAGCCAAGTAAGTCCAGAACAACACGGGTAACGTTTCAATCATTAAACGGACACAACGTGATATGATGTTCAAAGCAGCGTTAAAGCAACACTCTAGGTCGGATGTTCATTATGCTCTGTTGTGCCATGGGGTTTTTGGAGGCTTCCCCTTGATATAGAACTTGTCCGGCAGTGTTCTGGACATTTATGAGCGAGTGAGTTGCGTAAAGGTCAGAGTTCACAATCTGCCAGTGAAGTGACTAGAATAAATGAAAAGTTTTACGCGCACACTATGCAAATATCAGAATTGTGTGCACCAATAAGGTTTACCTATGGGATATATATAAAGTGTCATGACTGAGGAAAGGTGTGATGTTTCTGTTTCAGTGTTGTGGCCCAAGATGGAACGACCCTTGTAACGAATTTGAAAGGTAAGCCAGCTAACGCTGGACTTTCGTAATTAATCTGACCATATGTCACATGTGTATGTTACACCTGGGGTATTGAAAGTGCAGGTTTGATTGGAGTACAACTGTTGTTCTGATATTAATACCAGGCAGGTTAAACATTACTTTTCTGCGCTAACTAAATTGTGTGCAAGATTGATCCAGCGTGCCTCTTATCAGTGTGGACCTTCTCATATGAAACACTGAAGTGGGTTAACGCAGTTTTGCAACATCTCTGAGTCAGTTGTATCTGGGAAAACTAATGAGCGTTGTGCAGAGAAACCGATGATCTAACACGGGGTGGACCTTGGATTCGAACCCACGTCAAACGGAACGTGTCATTGCTGAATACGCGACACGGATTATATGGAAAATTTCATATCATCCCCTAATGTAGAAATTAGTTTTACTTATTGATTTGTTTGAACATGTATGGTGACAATATGGAATGTGTCGTTTCTAGTGAAATCATTCATAGATGTGTGTATGTTAGTGTGTGTGTGTGTGTGTGTGTTTGTGTGTGTTTGTGTGTGTGTGTTAGTGTGTGTGTGTTAGTGTGTGTGTGTGTGTGTGTGTGTGTGTGTGTGTGTGTGTGTGTGTGTGTGTGTGTGTGTGTGTGTGTGTGTTTGTGTGTGCGTGCGTGTGTGCGTGTGTGGTGTTTACATTACGTGACGTAATATTATGATTATACATTATTCTGGATTGTCTGTCATTGTTGAGCAGCGGTACCAATCGGGAAACGTGCAGCACAGTGGTTAAAGCGTTCGCTCGCCACTTCGACAATTTGAGTTCGATTCCCCACATATGTCCATTACTGGCGTTCCCCGCCGTGATATGGCCTGATCAGGGGCTTAAAATCCTACTCTCTCATTCCTTCAAACAGTAATATTTTCAATAGCTACGTGCCATTGACGGCATTCAGTGTTTAAATCATTTAAGTAATCTGGTAATGTCTGATCAGTCGCCGTGTGAATACCATTTCTTGTGTTTCCCGTAATAATATGACGACAACATTGTTAATAGCAATAGCACTCATTCAACTTTATACTTATTCATTATTTACATCATTTACGTAATAAGCTAATGACTGATAACTTAACCATTTCAGTGACTGCGGCTACCACTGTTGGAGGGGCGGTAACTGTTACATTAGACACGCCTGTTGATACCGGCAGCTGCCCCGGAATAGCCTGTGTCTACAGCGCCAGTATGGCTGATGCTATTCTCCTGGATCAGTGCCAAGTTGCTGCGGGAGGTTACTCTAGTAACACAGGTGAGTAACTGTTAAGGTTCATCACTATGGTCAGAGACCATATAACAGAGTCATCCGAAACCAACCCCTGGTCGAAGAGTGGGAATTCTTCAAGTGGCATATCTAGGTCCAAGACGAAATCGTCCCAGTGAATGAAGTCGTCCATGGCTGTGGCGAATGTAAATTGAAATAAATGTCTCGGAAGACACTCATGTTCAGCAAATAATTTGCAGCCAACTGACATGTGCTAATGAGAGATATCATAATATATCTTTGTAAACCGCTCAGAGACGTCCTTTTATTGGATTGTCGCTGGTCGTAGTCGGAGAAATCTCGGCTAAGGGAATTAACTCTTACCCCGGATATTATGTAATATTGTTTACGTGGTTACCAGAATGGTCAGTCGTGAATGTCTGCGCATCTATCGCGCATCTGCAGCGGTACAAGGGCGGTTAACAGCAGGGTGTCGGTGTGTATCAGTTACATGCCAGACCGTAGCGCTGATGGTTTATGATAAACTGTTGGTGAGGGCAGTCCCTCTATTATATGGTCTCTGCTATGGTCTTGTTCATGTTAGTGACCAACCTTTTAGAATTCCTTGTTGGGGATGGAGCAGGGGGTGACTGGAATGTTTTGGTAGTAAGATTTACTCACCTGAATTTTACATACGGTCAAGAATCTGTTTTTAGTCGGTTAATGAGGAGAAAAACGTAAGTAACAGTTTATCTCTAGCCCCACTTTACCCCTTCTGTCTTTATTTTAAGTGCCCTGGGCGCTTATTGGGTCGAATTCGGTATATTACTGACGTTATCTTCTTTGATATGTACTGTACATGTACAGTTGAAGAACGATACTCAAGTACTGCGGGTGTACTGTGTCTTGGTTCTTGTTATAGACCAGATCGGTGGATCTAGCTTCGAATATCTAGACATTCCGAATAGAGGTTTGACTGTGCGAGTGTTCCTTATCTAGACCAGACCGGTGGATCTAGCCTCGAATATCTATATTTCGAATAGAGGTTTGACTGTGCGAGTGTTCCTTATCTAGATCAGACCGGTGGATCTAGCCACGAATATCTATATTCCGAATAGAGGTTTGACTGTGCGAGTGTTCCTAATCTAGACCAGACCGGTGGATCTAGCCTCGAATATCTATGTTCCGAATAGAGGTTTGATTGTGCGAGTGTTCCTGTTTTAGACCAGAGCGGTGGAGCTAACTTTGAGTATCTGGATATTCCGAGCCTCCAGCCAACTGACACCTGTGCAAGCTTCCTAACCGCCTCAACACAAAACTTTTTCTTTGGTACTGGCACCACGTACAACTGCTTCTTCTCTCCGAGTGGATCTACCTGCCAGGTAATACAAATACGGTTTGCAGATTGAGGTATTCGGATTATTTTCATTTCACTTAAACACGTTGATTTACACCAAGAATACTCTAACGTGTCAACCGAAATAAGGTTTATCCAAAACAACGAGATCTGGACTTACGAAGTTATTATTAAAAGTACTTAAAAATATGTCATCCTCTTATAGGTAGTCGTTCGTTAGCAAAAGTTATCTACCTTTTTTGTAATGAATATTGTCGTGAACATTTCAGATAATATTATTCTGTCATGAAAATTCTGGATTGTCCGTGACTATTGACAGGTTGTACCTAAAGGGGTCCGTGGGGTAGCCATATGGTTTGAGTCTTCGAAAACCTGGCTTTACTGTTCCAACATACATTACCTGTCCTATTGGTTATACGTTGCATTAACATAAGTTCAAGGCATACTGGAATGACCCTTGAAGCAACCAATGTTGCCCATATCAAAAAGCATGTGAATGAGTGAGCTTTTACCCCATTTTAAACAACAGCCTTCCAGTATGACGGCGGAAGTGCCAAAGTGCATCGCATAAAGCATATAACTAGAATAAAGTCGAACTTATTGTCAAAATACTAATTACAATAAATAAAAGCGACATCACCCTTTCCATATTCATAAGAAATCTCTACCACAAGCAGAGTCGATTGTGGGATTCCGACTATATCATGAACACGTGTTTATGAATCACTATCAAATAGTGATAATGCCAGGTGCTTGCGACAAGGTGAGCGTATCCTGCCCCACCGGTTGCACTGGGGAGAATTATTTCATTGCGAAGTCTCGTTGAATCAAACTTATGTAATGCAGTTGTAATATAATCTGATGGAGTGATAACATTTATTTCAGGGTGACACTGGTGCTCCAATTGTTTGTCCACTGACCACTGGGGAACAGGTGGTCATTGGTCAAGTAGAGAATATGGAATGCTCGGCTGGTACAGTCGTTGGTTTCTATAATCTTGAAGCAGCATCCGTCCGAGTCTTGGCACGAAAAGCCGGAAAACGTGTGCAGCTCGGGTAAAAGTAAGCTTCCTCAGAGACCTAGAGTTCAATGTTGCCTAACGACACCTTATGAAAATAAAACTTGAATAACATTCGTTTGGCTTTTGAATATTGTTTTGACTTCGCAATAGAAACGGCGATTGAAAACGAATACGGTTTGGAGATGACATTCCAGTGTTCTGTGCAGGATAAGGTACCGACAATTTGGTATTCGGGCTAGCTGTAAATACTGAAAACAAATAATATAAGTTTGCCTCAGATTTTGGATACAAGAGATACGTGTTTGCTGGAAGTCGCAAGTTGTCACGGCGATACGGTTAAGGTGGGCGTACCAAAGACAACTTGAGAGGCATTGAAGTGTCACATTTAAAAGCAGAGTTTTTCAGATAGCTAACGTCTAAATGGCCGGTATGATTATCACAGATCAGCTGTTTTGTTTGTCTGTTTAACGCCGCACTCAGCAATATTCCAGTTGTATGACGGCGGTCTGTGAATAATCTGGACGACACAATCCAGTGATTGTCATTACGAGTATCGATCTACGCAATAGGGATACGATGACATGCATCAACCAAGTCAGCGAGCCTGACCATCCCTTCCGTTAGTCACCCCTTACGACGAACGACGTCACCTTTTACAGCAAGCAGGGGTTTGCTGAAGACCTATTCTACCCTTGATCTTCACTGGTTCTCAGATCAAGTGAGATCCCCACTATAACATAGAACATTGCCCTAGCATTTTTGAATGAGAAGTGTCAGGGTTTTAGACTGATCAATAAATCATCAAAATAGCCTCATATCTGAGGGTTTGGGATCAGATTTATTGTTTATTTACTTCAGTTTAACTGCTATTCAAGAACTAACTTTTCATCGTTACATCTTCAGTTCAATAACCATATTGACGATGACGTGATTGAGTGCAACGTGATTGCTTCACATCACACTCAGATAGATCGCTAGTATATATTCGTAATCAAAGTAGGTCGTTCATAATACTATCAGCCATTTCTTTGCCTGTATCAGATTCTATTAATACTTTCCTCTGTATTATACCTTGAATAGTGCTGACTGCCACGTGAAACAATAAATATAAAACAAAGCGTGATCAGTAAATATGAATCATCTTAACGCCAGGGAAAAAACTGTCTCGATAATCCGTCAAAACACAACATGACAGTGAGCGAAAAAAGCGGTGAATTATATGAATGGATCACTGACAATCAGTGAAGGCATCAGGTGTTCGCGAAAAGGGTAAGCATGTCCAGTCAAACCAGTAGCGGACCGCCTCCGTGGTCTAGTGGTAGAGCATCCGCCCGGAGAGCGGAAGGTCTGGGGTTCGATCTCTGCCCTCGTGATACCAAAAGACGTTAAAAGATGGTACTTGTTGTTACCCTGTCTGGCGCTCGGGATTAAGGGGCTAAAACATGGACTAGACGGCTCGGAGTCAGTATACTGTGTCTGAATGGGGTATTCATGTTAAACTGCGGCATGGTATCTCAGAGTGCTAGCACTATAAATCGGCATCAGTCCGGACTAGTACAAGCATCCACACACACACGCGTGCTTGCACGTCGCTATATAAGTGCAATAATCTTGGACACGACGTTAAACCCCACCCAACCAGTAGCACCACTCACACAGTTTGCGAAGAAAAAGTGCGTTTCCTGGCGCTAGTCAGCGGTACTCCTGGCAAGTGACGGCGGCCTGTGGACGGACCCCAGACAATCAAGTGATGGACCTGAAAATCTAGTGACACGGTAGCGCATTTACTGATTTTGTTAGAATTAAAACGATTTTGAATTACGTCTGGACACACGTTGTACAATCTGCACCTACCTCTGGATCTGCGCATTTATGGTTAACGGTCAAGAGATGACCGATACAATATTAGTCTTATGTTTATTCATTGTATATGATTGTCACTCGCTTTGTTGACAATGTTACAAGAAAAAGAACAGTGGTACATGCACTATATGTTAAAGTCGTTTTGTCCATGTTTTGTCCTTCGCAATTGTCCTTAGGAAACATAAAAGAACACCAACTTCTACTGATACCGTCCTTAATAAAGGTGAAGTGTAGTGAAATGTGTTTTAATGTTCTTAAAATTATAGCACTGATATAGCGACGTGCACGCACGTGTGTGTGTGGCTGCCTGAACTAGTCCGGACTAATGCCAATTTTAATACCACGGCGCACTTTAACACTCCGAGCCGACCAAACCTTGTTTTAGCCCCTTTATGCCGAGCGCCAGGCAGGGTAACAACAAAAAGGACCTCTTTTAACGTCCTTTTCGTATGAACGCCCGGGGATCTTCGGCCTCCACTCCCATGGTTCGCGTTCCACCACTAGACCACGGCGGCGGTCCTTAATGGAGTGAAAGAGTGAGTGAGTTTTGGTTTTACGCCGCTTTTAGCAATATTCCAGCAATATCGCGGCGGGGGACAGCAGAAATTGGCCTCACACATTGTACCCATGTCGGGAATCGAACCCGGGTCTTCGGCGTGACGAGCGAACGCTTTACCCACTAGGCTACCCGACCACCCCCCTTAATAGAAAATAAGGTAACATTAACACATACATGTGGATGTTTATCGATGCCTGCTGAGGAGATTATTTCTTCCACTTTTTCCAATTGTTTCTCAAAAGATAACTTTCAACGTTGATGCTTTTCATAAACCAAATGACCATGAAAATGGTGACATGCATCAATATAACGTTTAAAAAAATCATAAACGTGCTTATGAAAATGCAATGGAAGATTTTTCCTCCTAGCCTCATACACAAAGTTAAGCTGCTAAAGATATCAATTCCTTTCTGAGTAAATGAGAAAAAAATGTTGCAAAAAGAGAAATTGCCTGGCTATTGCAAGATGGGTTTTTTCATATTTCGACTCGTATCTCTATTTAATAAGTATCTCAATTTGTAGATAAAAACTATATGGAGTCTCCAAACAAAACCCAGGACAAATCTATTTCCTATTCATAAGCGCATACGTAACTTGCAACATATCAAAATTTATAACGATACATGCAGAAATGATCGAGTTGTGGCCCAAAATGACATTTTCAGTGTGGTTGCCATATATTCAAATTGATTGGAATTGATTGAGCACTTGTAGAGACACCAAAGCTGCTATCAACACCCCAAAGCATCAGCTGAATAATGTCTATTTCCATTCCTTGTCAATTGACAATGAACTATCGGTTTTGTTGACAATCTACATTAATTTCAAGGTTCACCAGTGGCTTAGGGTGCAACACATATTGCATCAACAAACCTTCTTAAACAATATATAAAACTAAAATTGAATTATTAAAGACATAGGTCCATTTGGAGCAGTATGGCTTCATGTTGATTTTGGTTTGAATTTTGTATAGCCATGTGCCGATCTTACTGGCGTCCCATTGGGCTTGTCATTTTGGGTCGAAGGAGACTTTTGAATTTGCGTTTAAACTCCAGTTTGTTGAAGGGAATAGGTTGTATCCCCGCAATGTCTAAAGCTAAGTTCGCCAGTGTGTCTGCTTTCGCTTCTCCTGCTTCCCTTGATTCGATAGATTTGTATATCCGTATAGAATATTATTGACTGTTTACTCTAGAGTTTCTGTCGCTGATGACTTGTAGTGGACTTTGTCTCCGGTAGTTCCGGTAAGAGTTTCAATTGAGGTGAATTGTCTCGATGTCAGCAGTGAATACGGACTGACCGTCCGGCAGGCGGACCGAATGTGCTTGGCGTTTGAAGATATTGATAAGGATCCCGTAACCAGCAGTGTTGTTGATAGGGTTCTTGGATCCATCAGTGTATACATGGGCCAAGCGGCCCCAGGTATTTTCAATTTTAGTAATAGTTACTGATCGTAGTACAGTTGGGTTTTCTTTCAGTGACTTCTGATGTTAAAGCATTGTCAACTGTGGGATGGTGTAACCCTTTGTAGTGACTTTCTGGTGGCTGAAAGTCATCATGATTGTGACTTCCGGTGAGTTCACGTGCTAATATCCCCGATGGCTTTAGTGAGGGATTTTTCCGAGCTGGGCCTTCATCTAGGGTGTTTTCGTCTTGCCATATTCTTTTCATCAAAGGGTTTGCTGTTCGTTCCCAGTTTGGACATCATCATTTGAGATTTAATGGTGTGTTTCAATTTCGTGGAAGGGAGCAGGCGGGTGAGATAATGATAAAAATATGAAAAGATAATATATTTGTAAACACATTTCCCATAAAATGTAAACAACGATTAACTCAATTAATACATAAAAATTAAGAAAGGGGAAAAAATAAAATATATTTTGAAATGTAAGTACCATCTAAAAAAAAATATGACCCGTGAAGATCTGGGGTAGAATAGGTTTTCAGCATCCCATGCTTGCCGTAAAAGGCGACTATGCTTGCCGTAAGAGGCGACTAACGGGATCGGGCGGCCATGCTCGCTGACTTGGTTAATACATGTCATCGTATCCCAATTGCATGGAATCGATGCTATTGACGTCAATCACTGGATTGTCTCGTCCAGACTTGATTATTTACAGACCGCCGTCATAGAGCAGGAATATGTCTGAGTGCGGCGTTAAACAACAAATATACAAACAAACAAACAAACAACAAGAAAGAAATAAGAAATATCTAATAGTGATGGGTAATATCTATCAGTTATTTTGTTCGGGCTTAGGAATAAAGAACAGGGGAGTAAACTTATAATTAAGTTCAGGGGCGAGGTGAAACGTCTGCATGGTGGCAGTTTTTGTTATAGATAACGGATATATATACGGGTGTCGTTGGCCTTGACATATATTTGGCTGGCTGGATAACTGAACGACATGTTATGGTTTGGGCTGCTTTGTGTAGTTGAAGAAGAAGGTCCGCGCCGTGAATTTCGATCCCTGTCCGAAATGAGAAAAAGTTCATTATAGGTGATGATTTGGAAAAATATATTTGTTTGGGATGGTCTAAATTTTGCTTAACAGTAAGGCATTTTTAATATAATTGGTGATAGCTGTAAAAACTGCCAGAGGGCTGATTGAAATTGATTATGAGAAAGAATGTTCTGACAGCGAGAGTATAAAGGACTGGAGTTAAACATGTGATGAAGGTCCTCAAAACTGTTGCATAAATCAGTTACCATTCGAGCGACTGTTTAGTTTGAACATATATGCGTTTATATTTGTGGCGCCACTATGGTTTCTGGTAATGGTATCTAATTGGATCGAGGTTGAAAAGTGAAGTTTGTTTAGTGGTTGTTGTCCTTTTTTTTAAGACTGTTTGAAGTGTATGTACGTTTAATGTTTGGTCAAATGTTAGGTGTACATGTGCTGGATTGGGGGTGTATTTGAGGTGATTTTTTATAATGTTTGGAAATACTTTTAGGTGATTGGTGGAGCTGCTAGTTTTGGAAAAAAAATGGGCAGCAATAGCATTAGCGTTTTCTTTGTTTGTGAATAGATTCAAATTGTTGGGTGAAATACATGATTTTGAATTTCCATTTTGTATGGCTTTAATATTTTTCCACAAAGTCTTAGTATTGTGTTTGCCAATGTTTAGAGTGCTACAAAAAGATTGCCAGTGTTTCTTTTTTGCTGCCTTATGATTTCTTTAGTTTTATTTCTTATTTTTTTATTACTTAGCCCATTGTAATTTGGAACGGTCGCTCTTTGATTGATTCAGAGCCTTTGGTCTTTGTTTTCGAACATTAATAATTTCTATGCTCCGCCAAGGTACTGGGTTTTGTGGACGGTATGTTTTAGATTGTGGGATGCACTTCGAAGCTTATTTCGTGTATGAAATTAGTGGAATTTGTGTTACAATTGTCTGTATCTATATTCCGCATGCTTGTTGTGTCTATGTTGTTACAGAGTTTTGTAAACAACTACAAATCTTCTTGTTCAAAGTTGTATTTCATTTGCTGGGAATATAGTATTAATTAAGGTTCCGAAGAAGATGGGGGATCTTGTGCTATGTTGAAAGGACATTTGATGGGACAATGGTCGCTTGCCCAGGTGTCGCTATGGACATCCAAGCATATTTTGTCATATATATAGGTAGTTATTATGGAAAGATCAACTGCTGTTTGTTTTTTCTATTTGTATTTGTACATAACTATTATTAGGGCGGAGCCACATTTACTGGCTTGTATATATTATCAATGTAGCACTTGGCATTATATTTTAATGACTATTTTATGCACTTGGTGTCTTATAGGCCCGTACTCCGGGTGTTGTACACCTTCTATGATATTAAATGTACAACACGTGACACTTTTTATAAAATATTGTTCGTCTTCTTCTTCTTTCTTCTTCTTCTTCTTCTTCATTGTTTTACATACATTTCCGTGTCCCACACAACAAGTGATGTGGATTAAGGTGTCCCTTAAGAAGGATGTTTAGAGTTGAATATTTTGAGAGAATATCCAAGTCAGCTATTGTGAATGGTTTAGTTTTAGCATGATATACATTTGCTATTGTTAATTTTGTTTTGTTGCTTGTATTTATAGCCAGGGATTCTAGATTTGGGGTGGGTATATCGACTATATTGTAAGTTGGGGACTTTTTACAAATATACCCATCTCTCCATGAGGCGCCCCCGGGGTATTTGGGGGCGTTGTCTTCCTGCCGAATGAAATCGAAGTTTGGTATTTTGAAGGCACTATTAGGTGATATTCTAGTTTCTTTAACAGCAATAATAAGTGCTTGAAGTTTGAGAGGGCAATGAGTAGCTTAAAATCATGTCCGTTTGAAAAAGACTATTGCTATCACTGTTAAATCACCATGGGTAGAAGCAGGATGGTAGGAGAGTTAATGTCATGGTGAAGGGGCTGAATTTGGACTGAGTTTCAGATGATATTGATTTAGGTTAGTTGGTTGAGGTTAATTTTGAAGTTGTCAGTAGGCTTGGAAACGAGAGCAAGAATATGGATGTTTCTTATTTAGCAGTGGGGTTTTATTAGGATGACAGCTGATAGAAATTCTATGATATGGTTTGGGTTATGGTTTATAATTAGTTCTATTAACGAAGGTGCTGTTTTGAATGTTTGACTTTATTGTGCAGGGAAACGTTTCCTTGATGTTGATGTTGTGTGGGTTGCATAGCGTGGTTTTCTTGTGTTTTGTTTGGACGGTATTTGGGATACCTGATTTGAAAGGCAATGGGGCCTGGTTTTTATTTGGTGGGGGAGAGGGGTTGGTGCCGGAAGTAGGCCTTTTTGTGTGTTTTTTTATTTTGCTTTCGTTTGTTAATTGGGGGTGGCGAGCTGAGTTTGTAGTCGGAGCTGGTGTTGTTTGTGAAATGGATGGTGTATAACTGTATTACTGACCACATGTTTGTGTGTAGGTAGGTAGGGGGTGGAGAAGAGCTGTTTGCATTTGGGCTGGGGTTGGCGCCTGGGGGAGGAGTAGGGTGTTCATTTATGGTGCTTGTTGTTGAGTTGAATGTTTGGCTTGTGTATGAGTCCTCAGGTTTTTCATTGAATGGGGCGATTGTAGCTAGTTTTGGTAAGTCAGCTTTCAGTGATGTGTTTGTTCAGTCTAAAGATTTGTTTTTTGTTTGAAGGGACATGCATTTTGTATAACTGTGTTACCTTCGCAGTTATCGCAGAATATCCATTACCTCACTTAACACAGATATGAACCTACTGTCACATAAGGTAGATACTCAAACTTAGAAGCTAGAAGAACAATTTTCTCCTCTTGGAAGTACAAACACAGAATTAGAGCAACTAGTACATTCTCAATGTGAACGAATCCAGAACTTTGAATCAGCTTTTGACAAGTCCGAGCCTCACTCACTGTGAAATAACCTTGAAGTTCTCTCTTTTTGGCATCCCTGGAGACTCTAGAGACACCATCGCAAAGAGCGCATAATTAGGTGAGGTGGGGGGAAATGGGGTTTAACGTCGCGTCCAAGATTATTGCACTTATATAGCGACGTGCATGCACGTGTATGTGTTTGTGTGGCTGCTTGTACTAGTCCGGACTGATGCCGATTTATAGTGCTAGCACTCTGAGATACCATGCCGCAGTTCAACATGAATACCTCACTCAGACACAGTATACTGACTCCGAGCCGACTAGTCCTTGTTTTAGCCCCTTAATGCCGAGCACCAGACAGGGTAACAACAAGTACCATCTTTTAACGTCTTTTGGTATGACGCGGCCGGGGATCGAACCCCGGACCTTCCGCTCTCTGGGCGGACGCTCCACCACTAGACCACGGAGGCGGTAAAGAGCGCATTGGAACATTCAAGAAGGATACATGAATATGAGCAATACAAACGCTATCCAGTTTGATACGGTTCGCAGATTGAAATCAAGACACACCCCAGCTCCAATAAAAGTAAACTTTATATGTAAGGACGACAAGAACGATAAATATGAAACGGCTCGTATTGTACTGAAGGATACTGATACAAGCTTCAGGGTTTCAAAGACTATACAATCTATCAGTAACACGATACATAAACGTGGCCGATGTAGCGGTGGGGTGGCTGTACAAATAAAAAGAGAAGTATCCCATTTATTTAAACGCTCTGTCTGCTTAATCTCAAAGGTTTGTTTGGTTCCTAGGAAAACAGTGATGTTACTTTTTATATATATATCTTCGGAAACCAAGGTGATATGGAAGATCTGGAGTCAATGCTTTTTGAAACATAAAATGGCTATCCAGGCTGTATCATCTTGCTGAGTGGCGATATGAACGCCTGAACTGGTTCAGAAGCAGATTTAATTGAGGATGACTAAATTGATCATATCCCACTGGATGAAGTTATGTGTGAGGTCAGTGACACTCCTCTACCCAGTCGAGTAGATAAGGATCATAGTGTGAACACTTACGGTAAACAGTTGCATTAGGCCTGCTAGACATTTAACTTCAATATCGTTAATGGAAGATTGTCTGATGGATCGGGTGATTTTACTTTCAGCGGATCAAATGGTTTTAGTACTCCGGATTCTATGTGTGCTTCACCGACCTTGTATACACTATAGCAAGAACTTCAAGATTGAATCACGTACAGCGTTAGACCATCTTCCTCCTGTTATTGCACTACCACTGAACAACGGAATCCCAGATAATCGAAATGCTGAGTATGTTGATAGTTCTGTGTATATGGACCGAGAGAAATACATATGGCAAGACAGACATATATATAACTAAAATGAAATTGTCATATTAGATTTTATCATCAGACAGCTTGATAACTTGACAGATGTAGTCAAAGTCGATGTTGATACTGCTGTTCAGAATATAATTGACAAATGTAATTACGGTGGAAACGCAGAAACAAACATAATAGGTTTCGTTTACATCAGAACTAGATTGATGATAAATTATTTTACACAAAGAGAGAAAAATATAATCTCTTAACTTCTCTCAGAAACCTGCCAACAAAGAACATTTTAAAAACTATAAAAATTGTAGAAACAAATTTAACAACTGTGTTCTAAAAAATAAAGAAAATGAAAGGAAGATATCGGACATAACACAGCAAAGGCATCAAGGAATAATGATTATGGAGGTTTAAATTTATTTAAACAACATTACAGTAAAAGATCGGTGACAAATAATAATACTCCTATTGTGTGGCAGGAGTACAATTTAAACATCTCCTTAATCCTACAAGAAATGATGAAGATGATGACACATTTTCAATGCATATTGACGGAGTTTCTACATGATCATAGCCAAGATTCGAGTGATTCGTATTCGAACCCTCATGACAATTATCAAATGGGGGATGAAATTAAAGAAGCTATTAAGAATTTTAAAATTAATCAATCTCCTGAATATACCTTCAGAATGTTTCAAAACTAAAAAAAACTTCAAACACCATACTTGAATATATTGTTCAATGCAACTCAATGAAACGATGTTCAATGCAAATAGGTTACTATCCAAAAGCATGGCCATCAGCCTCAAGCCAAAGGCCAATTTACAAGAAAGGTGATACAGAGGATCCCAATAATTACAGCGGGTCTCGTTTCTTAATAAAATGATTATGATTGTTGATACATCCTTAAAAACAAGGCACCTTTGTGCGAAACCCAAATATTATTGGGAAATGTCAAGGTTGTTTTCAGAAAGGACCACTTAACAATTGATAGTACTTTTTGTTTAACAAGCTCTGGTACAAAAACAAGAAGCTAGAAGACAAGGGAGATTTTTCTGTTGATTTAAAAAAGGCATTCGATATAATTGACAGAAGAAAGATGTTTTGTGCTCTTCTTATAAATGGTATGCTGGTTAAATTCTTTACAGTAATACAAAGTATATGTAAGCAGGTTACGTTTGTTTGTTTGTTGTTTTACGCCGCCGCACTCAGCAATATTCCAGCTATTGTTGTACTTCAAAATGGATTTACATTGTCTGAATATTTCTTTAGCAAAGCTGGTGTACGCCAAGGTTGTACTTTAGCCCAATTCTGGTGACACATTTTACTCGAATGTTTGTTGATGGTATATATGTATCCGATGAAGTGTATGACATTATTGATGATCTATTTGCAGATGAACCGATTCTTACTGCAGATTCTACAATAACATTACAGAAGAGATAAGACTGTTTAGCACCAATACTGTATTAAGTGGGGAAAGAAAACAAATGAAGATAAAACACAGGTAATGGTAGTTAGGAACGGGAATATTTATCAAAATATGAGAAGAGATCATATAACGGAAGGGAAATGGAAGTTGTTAACGCATATTAATATCTGGGATCAATGATAACACCAATAATGGTTTAGACTAATTATAAGGAATGTAGTACTCTTTCATCAGAAAGCTCTCATTCCAATCAAAAATTAATACGTAAACACAATGTAACTGCCAATAATTCTTTCGAAGTATTTGATCAGAAAATTCAATTGTACCGATTTTGACTTACGGGTGTGAGATATAAAAAGGCATTCCTTAAATGTCGAAGTGGTTATAATGCATTTGGCATTCAGAAACGTAGACATGTTTATGTACTGTACATGATAAGGATATGCTCTGTTTTAGAAGTTTGGAACATGTGCCATTAAACTGTCCCCAAACTAATTATATACGTTCTTCGTGTTTTTCCTCTAATACTATTTACTGTCATGTCATAAGATCCACTTGTGTATCAAATAACAAGAAAACAATATTTATGTTTGCTAAATTAGTGTATATTATGTCCGAGATCCATGGCAATTTTAAAACATTAAGTTATAACCAGCGCATATGTGTACATTATATTATATAAGTAAATGCATGTGCTGTTTGGGTAAGTTGGCCTAAAGAACAATAAAAGATTGCCATTGTCATTTGCAATGGCATTGCACAGAAGTCTAAATTGAAGTGCGATGGGGTCGCCTAGTAAGTTAAAACGTTCGCTATTCCCGCCGGGGTTTAATGCGTACAATGTGTGAACCCATTTCTGGTGTCCCCCGCCTGATACTGCTAAAATACTGCTTAAAGCGGCGTAAACCAATACTCACTCACAGTTCACACATGGTACGAATTGCCATGTCAATGCCTAAACTGGAAAGTGTCCCATGTTGCTGCACAAAGCCCTTTTTCATCATTGCGTTTTTTTCCTGACCTGTACCTAATCAGTACACCCATATTGATCTTGTCAAATTTTACCTTTATGAACATATCATCACCTGAACAGTATTCATGTTGTGATAGTCGTTCTATTCCGTAGGTACAAGCAGCTGGCTGAAGTTCCCTTGGCCAGGAACATCCTGAAAAAACAAGGACTTCTGCAAAAACAAAGGAGTGTTTTTACAAAGGTGGGCATAAGCAAAAGGCAACACATATGATTAGTGGTCAGGTGGGTATTTTCTGGCTTACCAAGGTATATAACCCTTGCTTGATAATAGGTTGTGTAAGAGGACATCTTATCCGCCATCATGAAGCCAACATTGCTCTTTCTGCTGATTGCTTTGAGTCTGTGTGTTTACACACATGGTTTCTCTTTGGGTTGTGGTACGTACAATATGGTAACCTATGGCGGACATGGTACTGTGCTTTGTATTTGGTGAATGAAAGAATAATTTTCTGTTATATTTTGTAACTGAGTGGGTCTACTTTCAATTCCTTCGCGTTTTGGAATAATTATGATGGACAAAATTATGTGTCGTTGTATTTGGAAATTATCTTCATACAAATCAGGCATCGATATAATCACATCTTGACAAAATAGTTTGGAGAAAACGTTCAACAATAAGTATTCATGACCAAATGACCCCCGTTGTAGTTCAGGGACGTGGCTCAAAACCCATTCAAAGACGTCTTCGCGAAGTTTTGAATTCATATGGTCATAGGCAAAATGACGTCATTGTGTAATTGGCAGTTAGAATGTTGGAGATTACACTGACATAAGTTTTAATGTGAAGTTTACACGATATACGGCTTTTGATTTGACGAGAGGTCGGTCACATGAGCGAGACATTGAAGGAAACAGTTTGACGAACGAAACAATTTGACGTTTATACGTTTTTCACGAGTCTGTATTCTTGAAATGACGAAAACACTGACGGACTACTTCCACATTCCTGGAGAAAACCTTGGGAATTCCTTACCATGAACACATACAGAAGTTTCTGATAATGTAGACCCTGAAACATGAACTCAGAGTTTTAGAATACATTGAAAAACACCTGAGACTTAATGATCGTTCACGAATATCCTCGCTACAACTCATCCTTGAGAACAAAACAAATAAATGCACATCCAAACTGTAGTAGTATCGACTCGATCCGTGTTTAAACTGACAGTGACAGTCAATAGCGACTTATGAATTTACCTTAGTATCTATTTGACACACTTTTGTAATCACCTTTCAATGATCGGCCAATTGATCAATGATGTAACACATGTAACCACAACAGGTTCATGAAAAACTTCGGAAATCTTTCCCGTCACGTACATTGTGTCGGCCATTTTGACGTCTTGTACTTGATGTAAATGTATTTCGACGCGCTGTCATTGTGACTGACTTACTGAGGTAGTTCCTCACAGACCTTTTATTAGGAACAAACTACAACAGATGTTTATATTAAGCAAGTTCAACAAACATACGCTCACGTTATCTCTCTTTTTGAGGAATTATTTTATTCCGCGATACAACGTATGGTCGCATGGCTATCAATGTAAACATGAACTAGATGACTAGAACCCTAGAATGGTTTCAGAGAATGCATCTATTTATTAGGCTGCAAAGATTTAAATGCACACACGTGCAATATGTCTTCATTTAATTATCCTTCTTGTATTTGTACGAATCTCATAAATATCATCTTCATTTGTTCTTACTATGTCTAAACTTTTTTTGCACCAAAAGCTATCATATTAACTGCTAAATTTATTGTCCATCGTGATGTTCGTCGTTGATGTCATAAATATAATTCCTTTGTGGAGAGCATTTACATATGTTAGGGCTGGCATGTTTGACGATGCACTTCCACAAATGTTAACTTATATTATGCTTATGTAAATTTACTTACGCATGTGTTCCATTGACGCACTTTTGTTTAAACCATGTATTTATTACTTGCATAGCTGCATCCTACTTCATTCCAAGTTTGAACGTGTACTGCGAAAATCAGCCGTCCAGCAATGACGGACTCACCAGAGAGAAGAGAGCAGATCTTCCATGCAAATCCACAGCGGACCATCAGTCTTGCTGCAGTTATTGTGAGTATCCTCTTCCGTGTACATACAGGGAAACCTCTTTAGACCGGACCCTTTTGGAGGAGCACTAAATAGTATGTTCTATCATAAAGAATACCAACAAACACAACTGGACACCCATTGAACTCGGCTCTTTAATAAGAGTCAGTTGTCAAGCATGGATTCAGTTGTCAAGCATGGATAACAATAACTACTTCACATGGCGAGGGGTTTAATGACGCCTTATGCATTGATGATAATCGAAGGTTGCGTATGCCCTAAGGAATACCGCGTCAATGCTGTTTGCTTACCCTTTCTATGAACACCTGGTATCATCATTGATTTTCAGTGATCCATTCACATTGTTTTCACTTCTCTCTTGTTTCGGCAGATAATCGAGGCTGATTACTCCTTGGCGTTGACGTATATATATATATATATATATATATGTATATATATATATATATATATATATATATATATATATGCATATATATATATGCAAATATATATATATATGCATATATATAAATATCCATATATATATATGCATACATATATATGCATATTATATATATGCATATATATATATATATATATATATATATATATGTATGTGTGTATGTATGTGACAATAATGTTATCTAAGACGAAAGACATCAACTGCATGTTGTCTTAAAGTTATGTTGCATACTCGAACAAAGTAAACTACATGAATACTCATTATGAAAAACTCTGTACTACCTGGGTCTAAATGTTAATTTTGAGACATAGGAGAAAGGGAAAACGAAGCTTAGAACTGAAGTAACGACGCACCTTCTTTAAACCCGTTTCTCGACAACTGCATTGTAACCTTTAACTGTCACAATTGAAAACACAGGATGATCCTGTTTTCAGATGACACGTGTGTTGTGAATGGTGTTTCCAGTACGTTATGCACCGACTGTGAGGCGTCCACATACAGCTCCGTTGACTGCTCTTGCACTGCGTCGGCAACGACCACGACTCCAACTCCTGTTGACTGCCCATCGTGCTGCGTGTGGGATCAAAGTGAGTGCAAAGATGAATGATAACAGACTGCGATAGTGTCTGTTTTACTGCATCGTACTTGGAGGAAATATTTGAGATCAGTTGTGAGGTATTTACAGCATCTTATCATAGTTTCTAAAGGTAAATGAATGATGATTCTAGCGTACAGAAAATACATGGTGAATGACCTTATTCTATGACATTGAAATCAAATTCCAAGAAATGGAAATATCCGTCATTAATGATGCTTACATTTTGCTAAATATTTTCATGATTGGGATTATTTAAGATGCATGATTAAAGACGAACACTATAAATCGGGGGTTGCCAATTTTGTTATGCAAAGTATCATACAACCGATGCAGGACAAAATTTGGTGGTTAGCACGATTGTTATACAAGCACAGAAATGAGTGCGTGTCCTTCCAGGCATGCCAGAAACCTATCGAGGGTTAGAATACCAGAGTTACTACGATTGAGTCTCTAGGTTTGCGAGGACCGTACCCACGATCGTGGGTTTAACCAAGTGGTTCACTGCAAACGCCTGCATCACTTCGGGCTCCCCTTCCACATCAAGCTGACACGCCGTAAATAAATTGCATTCTGTTCAAATAGGCGTTAAACCAAACTCACTAACTCACTGGAAACGAAAGTAAGAATAACTGTACGTATTGTCGGTATGTATGCAAGAAAGATTCACAACAATTTATCCTATTCAGGTGGCGCCTTGTTTCTATTTTCTGTATCTGGTGATCCTCGTTATACCGCGTGTCAGGATCTGCTTACGTCGTCATGCAACTGTAGCGATCCCGATGCACCCGTTACCTCTCAGACGACTTCGGCGACAACAACGACAACTACCACGACACTCCCAAAGATATGCAAAGTTGATGAGGAAGCTGATATATGCTGCAGAAGAGGTAACATGACTCTTGTACCAGACTAAAACAGTAATTGTCGCCCTTGAAAAAATATCGTTCACGCTGTATTGAATGCAAACGGATCCACTGGTCGGGAACAAATAAAACCCCATTTGATCAGATGCTGATATCTGGATACCTTCGGTATATGTAACAACATGGCACATATGCGGACCTCGCTTACGAAATGTAGTATGGGTAAACCTAAATTGATGGGCATAAAGATCTTCTCATTGAGTCTGACTTTCTCAAAGAAAACAAAGACGAATGTCATTGTCAACATAAATGTATCAATCAGGTAATCATCTGATAGTGTCATACTAAGCAACTGAATCGATCCGACACAGTGAGTCACGTAAAATGTGTCCTGAACAGACACTGGGTCATACAAAGTTCTTTTTCACCCTGACATGGAAAAAGACGTTTGTTGTAAAACATAAATTGTTCCTGTTAACGTTGTTTCCGGATGACTCATAACGTGTGTGTTCACCACCTGCTGGAATGTACGCTACTTCACGTCGTCATACTGATGCTAGCCGCAACCTGAAGATGTCATACAGAACGCTTCGGCATTCTTCTAGAAGAGCATGTTCTAGTTGATTTCTCTTGACTGTTGTCCGTATCCCATCAGGCTGTTCAAGGGATCCCACAGTTGTTCAATTGGATTAATATCCGGTGAACGTGCAGGCCCTGGCAGAGCCCGCACATTGTCGTTGTTTAATTCTCCTGGACAACTCGTGCTGTATGGGACTTTGCGTTACCGGGTTGCATAATTTTCCGTGACTGTTCCCTGGTGCCATACACGTAAATATGCCAGTGCAACTAACTGACTGGAGAGCTTCATCTCTATATCCTAGAGCGCCCAGGTTGCCCTTTATGATAGATAACCAGGCACAGATTCTGGTCATCGCAAACGACACCCCATACCGTCACACTGTCTTCACCATATTGGTGGATCTATCAGTGAGAAGTTCCTTTTCCCCGCAAGTTTAGCTGTGGTTGTATTTGAAATGAAAAGTAGGGTCATCGGGGGTCATTTAAACTTAAATCAATGTGCGGTTACTGCTTCAGCTTGACAATCAAACATGATTTGTAGTGATTGCAACATTCCAGCAATATTACGGGGTGAGACACCAGAATAGGCATATCACGTGTTACCCATATGGGGAGTCGAACCCGGCTTGCATTTATGAACTTGGCACTGCATTTACATTTGGCCCCGGAGTGTATAAACACATGCAATGCATCTTCTAGCGAAAGTAAACAATATTCCTTCAGTTATTTGATTCGATTAATGTTCTGTATTGTCCTATTTCTTTGTTTAGCATCGTATTGTGAGGCAAACCAAAACGACGCATCGTGCACAGACTGCCTGACCAACGTGTTACCAAGCACAAACTGTTCTTGCACGTATTATATACCACCTCAGATGCCTCCCATATGTCTTATCTACCCTCGTGAGTTAACGTCTTTGTCATATTCAGCCATAACCTAATGAAATGAGATTAAAAAGGTAGCTGTTTAATTAATATTAACAATATAAACGTTAACTGATGTATAATCTATAAACACAAAGTTTACATCATTACGTAAATGTCATAATGATTTTTTTATAAACAACAACGGGGTTGAAATAATGTCGGTGCTCGTTATTTTCTTGCAGAGTACAGGTGTGTCATACCGATGTGTTCGCCGTGGTGTGTAACGACATCTCAAACTACTACTGCTACTACTGCTACGACATCTGCCACAACATCACTGACAACATCAGCAACGACTTCTGCTACAACGTCAATGACAACATCAGCAACGACTTCTGCTACAACGTCAATGACAACGTCGGCAACGACTTCTGCTACAACGTCACTGACAACATCAGCAACGACTTCTGCTACACCGTCAATGACAACGTCGGCAACGACTTCTGCTACAACGTCACTGACAACATCAGCAACGACTTCTGCTACAACGTCAATGACAACTTCGGCAACGACTTCTGCTACAACGTCAATGACAACATCAGCGACAACTTCTGCTACAACGTCAATGACAACATCAGCAACGACTTCTGCTACAATGTCAATGACAACATCTGCAACAACACCAATACCAAAGTTATGCAAAGACACAGAGGAAGCAGCTACTTGTTGTCAAAGAGGTATGGCTCTTTACAGTACGCATAGTAGCTGAAAAGATATTTAAAGTCAAATCATAAATGGGCTTTACACGTGTAATCTATTGGGGAGTCGAGCCCGGATAACATCCAATAACATTAAAATCAGATCCTAGTTTTTGCTACCGATAACAAAGATCTGAGGACATCCCTTTACGGGTCACGTCAAAATGACCTTTCGCGAACTTTGACCGACCAATGAAATGACTGACAAGAAATCGACATTAGCCAATCAGAAGGCAGCTTTCTCGAGCTTTACGACACTAGTTTCAAACTGGCGACTACCTTCGAAACATATTTTGACGTATTCTCGATTATTATTTTTTTTAAACTGATCAAAAGATGATTCTGGAATGGCTTATAGTTGGTCTAGATTGTATGGATACAATCATAAAACCCGTAACTGTCGTTCGGAATACCCTCTGTTAAATATTTCGAGGTTGCATAATTAGAAAACACATTCCGACTGTCACTTTCTTGATCTGGTAAGCGACGCTCTGATTGGTTCGATGAAAGATCGTTCTGACGTGACCAGAAATGGAATGTCCTCAAATGTTTGTTTAGCGGTAGCGAGAACTAAGATCTGATTTTAATGAGATTGGGTTAACATCATGACATGCTTGAACCTTTAGAATACCAGACTACCATTTCTTTCCTTTCATCCACCGCCATATTTTGTATGGTACTTGTACTTGTCCGGATTAATGTCGGTTTTATAGTGCTGAGCCACTGAGATACCATGCCGCATTTTAACATGAATATCACACTCAGACACAGTATACTAAGACCGAGCCAGCGGTCCCTGTTTCACCCCCTTAATGCCGGGCGCCAGACAGGGTAACAACAAGTACCATCTCTTAATGTCCTTTGGTATGACGCGGCCGGGGGATCGAAACCCAGACCTTCAGCTCTCCGAGCAAACGCTTTGTCAACTGGACGAAGGGGGCTGTCTCAACTTTTGTTTGTTTGTTGTTGTTTTACGCCGCACTCAGCATTATTCCATCTATATGACGGCCATCTGTCATCTGTAGATAATCGAGTCTGGACCAGACAATCCACTGATTGATACCATGAGCATCGATCGATCCACGCAATTGGGATCGATGACATGCTTTAATCAAGTCAGCGAGCCTGACCACCCGATCCCGTTAGTCGCCTTTTACGACAAGCCTAGTCGCCTTATTACGGCAAGCATGGTTTGCTGAAGACCTATTCTACCCCGGATCTTCTCGGGTCGTCTCACCTTTAGTACTCATTTTGGACAAAAGCTCTTCTCCATGCAAACATGGCGTATTTCACCAGGTGAGCTCCAGTCCTGTTGAAGTGAGTCATTGAACTGGGTTCAACATCGCGTTTAGCAGTATTATCTATACAAAATGGCCACATGTAATCGTAACACTGCCTTTGTGAAGTGAAGATTCCGGGGTAGAATAGGTCTTCAGCAACCCATGCTTGCCGTAAAAGGCGACTATGCTTGTCGTAAGAGGCGACTAACGGGATCGGGTAGTCAGGCTTGCTGACTTGGTTGATGCATGTCATTGATCCCAATTGCGTGGATCGATGCTAATGATCATGATATCAATCACTGGATTGTCTGGTCCAGATCGATTATTTACAGACCGCCGTCATATAGCGGGAATATTGCTGAGTGCGGCGTTAAACAACAAACCAACCAACCAACCTCGATTTTTCTTTCGGTTTCGGACAGAACACAAAATGCAACATTTTTTTCCAGCGAATGGTAAACAACATTCCTTTCAGTTATTTGATTCGATTAATGTTTTGTATTTGTTTTATTTCTTTATTTAGCATCGTATTGTGAGGCAAACCAAAACGACGCATCGTGCACAGACTGCCTGACCAACGTGTTACCAAGCACAAACTGTTCTTGCACGTATTATATACCACCTCAGATGCCTCCCATATGTCTTATCTACCCTCGTGAGTTAACGTATTTATCGTTTTCAACCTCAAATAAAATAAATGAATTTTCTTAAACGTAGCTGTGTAGTTAACCCTGACATTGTTTTACGAATATTCTTTAAACGCAAAGGTCGCATTTTAAGTGATCGGTCATTTATATAATCGTAATATTATGCTGGATAGAGAGTTAGTATGGTTTTACGCCACTTTTAGAAATATTCCAGCGATATCACGGCGATGGACACCAGAAATGGGCTCCACACATTGTACCCATGTCGGGAATCGAACCCGGGTCTTCGGCGTGACGATAAATATCTGAATACACGGTACATTGGCATCTGTTGATGATAAATTAATCATAAATTCATGACAGTAAAATAAATGTGCTGTCGACAGAGTATCCGTACTAGTGTCCGGTTTGACAAATTCCACAGAACATATTTCTTATAAACCTCAGTACATGTTATAACATGAACCCAGTTATTGATGCTTGTCCGTCCTTTTATCGCAGAGTACAGATGTGCCATACCGATGTGTTCGCCGTGGTGTGTAACGACATCTCAAACTACTACTACATCAACATCTGTCACAACGTCATTGACAACATCAGCAACTACTTCTGCTACAACATCAATGACAACATCAGCAACGACTTCTCCTACAACGTCAATGACAACATCAGCAACGACTTCTCCTACAACGTCAATGACAACATCAGCAACGACTTCTGCTACAACGTCAATGACTACATCAGCAACAACACCAATACCAAAGATATGCAAAGACACAGAGGAAGCGGATATTTGTTGTCAAAGAGGTATGGCTGATTCAAGTATGAGCAGTTGCTGAAAACAGATGATCACATGATGACGTCACCCCGGGAAAGTAGTCCTTTCACCAACCTCTTAAAGATGGGGGGTACGGGTCGACCAGTCGTCAAAGGCGCCGCAACTCACTGTGCAGAGTTGCGTCCCTTAGGCATGCCAGAAACCTGGGTTTGAATCCCGGTTTGTTCCGATTATGTTCCTAGGGTTGTCAGCATCATACCCCTGCTCGGGGGTTTCATCCAAGTGGTAAGCGTCTGAGACCTGCATCACTTCGGACTGACACAACGTGATGTAACTTTGATATAGTTTAAAGCGGCTTTAACCCAACTCACCTACTCACGCATATAGGTGAGTTGAAGGAAAGTGGATTAGGTTAAAACAGGCTTAATTCTACGAGAGACGATGTCAGCGTCCTTCACATTGCCATGACGTCATCCTTCTTATAAAGGTTCCTTTATGTCCTCACTATGGTGTCGAGTTGAAAAAAAGCCGAGTATATTAAATGATTTTTTCTTTCAGAACCATACTGCGTGGCAAACTACCCTGCTGATTCTTCATGTGGTCCATGTATGGAAGACATCCTACCCAGCACAAATTGCTCTTGTACATCCTACACACCTCCTACGAACACAGTGCCGCCGATTTGCAAGCTTCCTGGTACGTTCTATGAAAGACAGTGATGAAACATTCCATGCATAGAATCAGGAAGTAATGTGGTGGTCGAGATATACAGTTATGGAATATGTTAATGAAGTCATCGTGATAAAGGATTGTTATTTCAGGTACACGACTACTTACATATGCCTTTTGTCAGAATTTTGGCACGACCGTTAAATCCGCATTTTCCGCGTTAAATCCAAAAACGTATCGCGGTAATTCCACTTAAGCGGTTGGTCTCCGGAAATGTATCCCAAAAAGAGGTATCATCTTGTGAGCAGTAGTGTATTGACACGGTTCTTGATTATCAGTGACATAGAATGATCCGTCCACTATCCCTGTTTGAATTTTCCCAATTGTCAACTTTCCCGTTGTATCGAGCAATAATCCAGAAACTCCAGCCCTGATGTCTACAGGTCACAGTTTTTAAGCATTCTCTTTCTTCTTCATAAAAGAAAACCTGATCAGCATTCGGCACCCAAGGCCATAATAAAGCTTTCAAAAAGCACTATCATAGACAAAAGGAGGACATTTTCAAATGTGACTCACCATTGGCCATAATAATATCCGATGCAATTTCCCCATTTCGACTTGTACCATTATGTTGCCTTTGCATGTGTTTGTAACGGGCGCCATCGGAGAGACAGCATTATGCTTAATTTTTCGCGAACACCTGGCATCATCACTATTTGATAGTGATTCATAACAAAAACATGCTTCAAAATTGAATCAGAGGTTTCTGATGATTATGGAAAGGATATTGTAACTTTATTTCTTGAGTATTAAACAACGGATATTAAAAGGCGGACAATGTAATATGAACCACGGAAATGAAGAACACATTTCAACACAGTCCCTTGGCGTTTGGCATGACCCTGTTTTTCTGTGCAATGGTTTCGAAATAATGTTAACAATTGAGAGATGAAATCGTAATGTCTTCTGATTATGGAAAGGGGTTGTCTCTTTTATTTTGATAGTTCGTGCTTTCTATTTGAACAGGTTTGTGTTCTCTCCCGTTTTGTGTACCATTCTGTGAGGCAACAACACAAGCGCCGAGTGAGTAATAGCACAGGTTGTTTCCTAAACTGTAACAGCAGTGTAAGTACAAGTATTTATTTTCCGAAATAACATAAGACCGCATCAAGGAAAACACAAATGCTTGCAATTTACCAATGAGAGTGATTTTGAGCAGAGACTTCAGAACTCTTTCCTGTACTGGTGATCAACTGAAGATGGAGCCATGGAATTTGTATAAGATATTTATTGGAAGTTTAGGTAAATTCCAATTCTGCACAACATTTTGTGTTCTTAATTTACGAGGGCGGTGGGGTAGTCTTGTGGTTAAAGCGACGATGTGGTACATTGGTACATTGATACAATGTGTGAAGCCTATTTCTGATGTCCCCCGCCGTGATATTGCTGGAATATTGCTGAAGGCGGCGTAAAACGCTATCCACTTACTTTATATACGCTGCATGGTGAGACGTACTGTTGTTTGAAAGGAACGTGAATGTGTTGCTTCCTTTATACAATTCAAGTCGCAACACACGCATCACGCACCCCTAGCGCGTCTAGGTCGGTGGTATCTTCGGTGTTAACAGTTTATATATTGGTAAGTGTGACCAGCCATTAAGTCCAATCCGTCTTAAACACTATTTATTTTATATCAATGTATATCAACTACATCAGCTACAACGTCAGCTACTACATCAGCAACTACATCTGCTACAACTTCGGCCACAACGTCAGCTACTACGTCTGCAACAACATCGGCTACAACTTCAGCCACTACATCAGCTACAACGTCAGCTACTATATCAGCAACTACATCTCCTACTTCAACGGCCACTACCTCACCTACAACTTCGGCTACCACATCAGCGACAACATCTGCCACAACGTCTGTCACAACTTCATTCACAACATCAGCAACTTCTTCAGCCATGACATCTGATAGTACATCAGCTACAACGTCAGCAACAACGTCAGTTACTACATCAGCAACTACATCTGCTACTACATCGGCCACGACATTAGCTAGAACGTCTGCTACGACGTCTGCCACAACATCTGCGACAACATCAGCAACGACATCAGCTACAACTTCGGCTACCACATCAGTGACAACATCTGCTACAACGACTGTCACAACTTCAGCCACAACATCTGCGACAACATCCGCTACTACATCAGCAACAACATCCGCTACTACATCAGCAACAACGTCTGCTACTACATCGGCTACTACCTCAGCTACAACGTCTGCAACGACGTCTGCCACAACATCTGCGACAACTTCAGCCACGACATCTCCTACTACATCAGCAACAACGTCAGCTACTACATCAGCAACTACATCTGCCTCTACATCGGCCACGACATCATCTACAACGTCTGCTACGACGTCTGCAACAACATCCGCGACAACATCAGCAACGACATCAGCTACAACGTCTGCATCGACGTCCGCCACAACATCTGCGACAACTTCAGCCACAACATCTCCTACTACATCGGCTACAACGTCCGCTACTACATCAGCGACAACATCAGCAACTACTTCTGCTACTACTTCGGCCACTACCTCAGCTACAACATCAGCAACTACGTCTGCAACAACATCTGCGACAACTTCGGCGACAACATCCGCTACTACATCAGCTACAACGTCTGCAACAACAACCACAACAACAACGTCAGCAACTACATCTGCTACTACATCAGCAACTACATCTGCTACCACATCGGCCACGACCTCAGCTACAACATCTGCGACAACTTCAGCCACGACATCTCCTACTACATCAGCTACAACGTCAGCTACAACGTCAGCTACTACATCAGCAACTACATCTGCCTCTACATCGGCCACGACATCAGCTAAAACGTCTGCCACGACGTCTGCAACAACATCCGCGACAACATCAGCAACGACATCAGCTACAACGTCTGCATCGACGTCCGCCACAACATCTGCGACAACTTCAGCCACAACATCTCCTACTACATCAGCTACAACGTCAGCTACAACGTCAGCTACTACATCAGCAACTACATCTGCTACTACATCGGCCACGACATCAGCTACAACGTCTGCTACGACGTCTGCAACAACATCTGCGACAACTTCCGCAACAACATCAGCCACAACATCTGCCACAACTTCAGCCACGACATCTGCTACAACATCAGCAACTACTTCAGCTACTACATCAGCAACTACATCAGCAACTACATCAGCAACTACGTCTGCCACAACATCTGCGACAACTTCGGCCACAACATCTGCTACTACATCAGCAACAACGTCTGCTACTACATCGGCTACTACCTCAGCTACAACGTCTGCAACGACGTCTGCCACAACATCTGCGACAACTTCAGCCACGACATCTGCTACTACATCAGCAACAACATCAGCTACTACATCAGCTACTACATCAGCAACTACATCAGCAACTACATCTGCTACTACATCGGCCACTACCTCAGCTACAACATCGGCAACAACATCAGCAACTACGTCTGCAACAACGTCTGCGACAACTTCGGCTACAACGTCCGCTACTACATCAGCGACTACGTCTGCTACTACATCGGCCACTACATCAGCTACAACATCGGCTACAACGTCCGCTACTACATCTGCTACAACTTCGGCCACTACCTCAGCTACAACGTCTGCTACGACGTCTGCAACAACATCTGCGACAACTTCGGCCACAACATCCGCCACTACATCAGCAACAACGTCTGCAACAACATCAGCCACAACGTCAGCTACTACATCAGCAACTACATCTGCTACTACATCGGCCACGACATCAGCTACAACGTCTGCTACGACGTCTGCAACAACATCTGCGACAACATCAGCAACGACATCTGCTACAACGTCTGCAACAACATCTGCGACAACTTCGGCCACAACATCCGCTACTACATCAGCAACAACGTCTGCAACAACATCAGCCACAACGTCAGCTACTACATCAGCAACTACATCTGCTACTACATCGGCCACTACCTCAGCTACAACATCAGCAACAACATCAGCAACTACGTCTGCAACAACGTCTGCGACAACTTCGGCTACAACGTCCGCTACTACATCAGCGACAACATCAGCAACTACATCTGCTACAACTTCGGCTACCACATCAGTGACAACATCTGCTACAACGTCTGCAACAACATCTGCGACAACTTCGGCCACAACATCCGCTACTACATCAGCAACAACGTCTGCAACAACATCAGCCACAACGTCAGCTACTACATCAGCAACTACATCTGCTACTACATCGGCCACTACCTCAGCTACAACATCAGCAACAACATCAGCAACTACGTCTGCAACAACGTCTGCGACAACTTCGGCTACAACGTCCGCTACTACATCAGCGACAACATCAGCAACTACATCTGCTACAACTTCGGCCACTACCTCAGCTACAACGTCTGCTACGACGTCTGCAACAACATCTGCGACAACTTCGGCCACAACATCCGCTACTACATCAGCAACTACATCTGCTACTACATCGGCCACTACCTCAGCTACAACATCAGCAACAACATCAGCAACTACGTCTGCCACAACATCTGCGACAACTTCGGCGACAACATCTGCTACTACATCAGTAACTACAACTGCTACTACATCGGCCACTATCTCAGCTACAACGTCTGCAACGACGTCTGCCACAACATCTGCGACAACTTCAGCCACGACATCTCCTACTACATCAGCTACAACGTCAGCTACTACATCAGCAACTACATCTGCTACTACATCGGCCACGACATCAGCTACAACGTCTGCTACGACGTCTGCAACAACATCTGCGACAACTTCCGCAACAACATCAGCCACAACATCTGCCACAACTTCAGCCACGACATCTGCTACAACATCAGCAACTACTTCAGCTACTACATCAGCTACTACATCAGCAACTACATCAGCAACTACGTCTGCCACAACATCTGCGACAACTTCGGCCACAACATCCGCTACTACATCAGCAACAACGTCTGCTACTACATCGGCTACTACCTCAGCTACAACGTCTGCAACGACGTCTGCCACAACATCTGCGACAACTTCAGCCACGACATCTGCTACTACATCAGCTACAACGTCAGCTACTACATCAGCAACTACATCTGCTACTACATCGGCCACGACATCAGCTACAACGTCTGCTACGACGTCTGCAACAACATCTGCGACAACTTCCGAAACAACATCAGCCACAACATCTGCCACAACTTCAGCCACGACATCTGCTACAACATCAGCAACTACTTCAGCTACTACATCAGCAACTACGTCTGCCACAACATCTGCGACAACTTCGGCCACAACATCCGCTACTACATCAGCAACAACGTCTGCTACTACATCGGCTACTACCTCAGCTACAACGTCTGCATCGACGTCTGCCACAACATCTGCGACAACTTCAGCCACGACATCTGCTACTACATCAGCTACAACGTCAGCTACTACTTCAGCTACTACATCAGCAACTACATCAGCAACTACATCAGCAACTACGTCTGCCACAACATCTGCGACAACTTCGGCCACAACATCCGCTACTACTTCAGCAACAACGTCTGCTACTACTTCGGCTACTACCTCAGCTACAACGTCTGCAACGACGTCTGCCACAACATCTGCGACAACTTCAGCCACGACATCTGCTACTACATCAGCTACGACATCAGCTACTACATCAGCAACTACATCTGCTACTACATCGGCCACGACATCAGCTACAACGTCTGCTACGACGTCTGCAACAACATCTGCGACAACTTCAGCCACGACATCTGCTACAACATCACCAACTACTTCAGCTACTACATCAGCTACTACATCAGCAACTACATCAGCAACTACGTCTGCGACAACATCTGCGACAACTTCGGCGACAACATCCGCCACTACATCAGCAACAACATCTGCAACAACAACCACAACAACAACGTCAGCAACTACATCTGCTACTACATCAGCAACTACATCTGCTACCACATCGCCCACTACCTCAGCTACAACATCTGCGACAACTTCAGCCACGACATCTGCTACTTCATCAGCTACAACGTCAGCTACAACGTCAGCCACAACATCAGCTACTACATCAGCAACTACATCTGCTACTACATCGGCCACGACATCAGCTACAACGTCTGCTACGACGTCTGCAACAACATCTGCGACAACATCAGCAACGACATCAGCTACAACTTCGGCTACCACATCAGTGACAACATCTGCTACAACGTCTGCAACAACATCTGCGACAACTTCGGCCACAACATCCGCTACTACATCAGCAACAACGTCTGCAACAACATCAGCCACAACGTCAGCTACTACATCAGCAACTACATCTGCTACTACATCGGCCACTACCTCAGCTACAACATCAGCAACAACATCAGCAACTACGTCTGCAACAACGTCTGCGACAACTTCGGCTACAACGTCCGCTACTACATCAGCGACAACATCAGCAACTACATCTGCTACAACTTCGGCCACTACCTCAGCTACAACGTCTGCTACGACGTCTGCAACAACATCTGCGACAACTTCGGCCACAACATCCGCTACTACATCAGCAACAACGTCAGCTACTACATCAGCAACTACATCTGCTACTACATCGGCCACTACCTCAGCTACAACATCAGCAACAACATCAGCAACTACGTCTGCAACGACGTCTGCGACAACATCTGCTACTACATCAGCAACTACATCTGCTACTACATCGGCCACTACCTCAGCTACAACGTCTGCAACGACGTCTGCCACAACATCTGCGACAACTTCAGCCACGACATCTGCTACAACATCAGCAACTACTTCAGCTTCTACATCAGCTACTACATCAGCAACTACATCAGCAACTACGTCTGCCACAACATCTGCGACAACTTCGGCCACAACATCCGCTACTACATCAGCAACAACGTCTGCAACAACGTCAGCTACTACATCAGCAACTACGTCTGCTACTACATCGGCCACTACATCAGCTACAACATCGGCTACAACGTCCGCTACTACATCAGCGACTACTTCGGCCACTACCTCAGCTACAACGTCTGCTACGACGTCTGCAACAACATCTGCGACAACATCAGCCACAACGTCTGCTACTACATCGGCCACTACCTCAGCTACAACATCAGCAACAACATCAGCAACTACGTCTGCAACAACATCTGCGACAACTTCGGCGACAACATCTGCTACTACATCAGCAACTACATCTGCTACTACATCGGCCACTACCTCAGCTACAACGTCTGCAACGACGTCTGCCACAACATCTGCGACAACTTCAGCCACGACATCTCCTACTACATCAGCTACAACGTCAGCTACTACATCAGCAACTACATCTGCTACTACATCGGCCACGACATCAGCTACAACGTCTGCTACGACGTCTGCAACAACATCTGCGACAACTTCCGCAACAACATCAGCCACAACATCTGCCACAACTTCAGCCACGACATCTGCTACAACATCAGCAACTACTTCAGCTACTACATCAGCTACTACATCAGCAACTACATCAGCAACTACGTCTGCCACAACATCTGCGACAACTTCGGCCACAACATCCGCTACTACATCAGCAACAACGTCTGCTACTACATCGGCTACTACCTCAGCTACAACGTCTGCAACGACGTCTGCCACAACATCTGCGACAACTTCAGCCACGACATCTGCTACTACATCAGCTACAACGTCAGCTACTACATCAGCAACTACATCTGCTACTACATCGGCCACGACATCAGCTACAACGTCTGCTACGACGTCTGCAACAACATCTGCGACAACTTCAGCCACGACATCTGCTACAACATCACAAACTACTTCAGCTACTACATCAACAACTACATCAGCAACTACATCAGCAACTACGTCTGCAACAACATCTGCGACAACTTCGGCCACAACATCCGCTACTACTTCAGCAACAACGTCTGCTACTACATCGGCTACTACCTCAGCTACAACGTCTGCTACGACGTCTGCAACAACATCTGCGACAACTTCAGCCACGACATCTGCTACCATATCACCAACTACTTCAGCTACTACATCAGCAACTACATCAGCAACTACATCAGCAACTACGTCTGCCACAACATCTGCGACAACTTCGGCCACAACATCCGCTACTACTTCAGCAACAACGTCTGCTACTACATCGGCTACTACCTCAGCTACAACGTCTGCGACAACTTCAGCCACGACATCTGCTACTACATCAGCTACAACGTCAGCTACAACGTCAGCCACAACATCAGCTACTACATCAGCAACTACATCTGCTACTACATCGGCCACGACATCAGCTACAACGTCTGCTACGACGTCTGCAACAACATCTGCGACAACATCAGCAACGACATCAGCTACAACTTCGGCTACCACATCAGTGACAACATCTGCTACAACGTCTGCAACAACATCTGCGACAACTTCGGCAACAACATCCGCTACTACATCAGCAACAACGTCTGCAACAACATCAGCCACAACGTCAGCTACTACATCAGCAACTACATCTGCTACTACATCGGCCACTTCCTCAGCTACAACATCAGCAACAACATCAGCAACTACGTCTGCAACAACGTCTGCGACAACTTCGGCTACAACGTCCGCTACTACATCAGCGACAACATCAGCAACAACATCTGCGACAACTTCGGCCACAACATCCGCTACTACATCAGCAACAACGTCAGCTACTACATCAGCAACTACATCTGCTACTACATCGGCCACTACCTCAGCTACAACATCAGCAACAACATCAGCAACTACGTCTGCAACGACGTCTGCGACAACATCGGCTACTACATCAGCAACTACATCTGCTACTACATCGGCCACTACCTCAGCTACAACGTCTGCAACGACGTCTGCCACAACATCTGCGACAACTTCAGCCACGACATCTCCTACTACATCAGCTACAACGTCAGATACTACATCAGCAACTACATCTGCTACTACATCGGCTACGACGTCTGCTACGACGTCTGCAACAACATCTGCGACAACTTCCGCAACAACATCAGCCACAACATCTGCCACAACTTCAGCCACGACATCTGCTACAACATCAGCAACTCCTTCAGCTACTACATCAGCTACTACATCAGCAACTACATCAGCAACTACGTCTGCCACAATATCTGCGACAACTTCGGCCACAACATCCGCTACTACATCAGCAACAACGTCTGCAACAACGTCAGCTACTACATCAGCAACTACGTCTGCTACTACATCGGCCACTACATCAGCTACAACATCGGCTACAACGTCCGCTACAACATCAGCGACTACTTCGGTCACTACCTCAGCTACAACGTCTGCTACGACGTCTGCAACAACATCTGCGACAACTTCGGCAACAACATCAGTTACAACTTCGGCTACTTCATCAGCTACTACTTCAGCTACAACATCTGCCACAACTTCAGCCACGACATCTGCTACAACATCAGCAACTACCTCTGCAACAACTTCAGCCACCACATCTTCCTTAAAATCTGTTACGACATCCGCCACGACTCCAAACGATCCTAGTGAGTAATTTTGTACTGACAAATTATTTGGATTTTTTTTCTTGGTAACCTATTAATAAGCGGTTATTCTCTTGCGTTGACGTTTCATACAGTAAACCACATTTATAACGAGCACGCTTATAACGAACTGACGGATAAAACGAAGTTTTTGCTGTATATATGTTGTACATATGCTTATGAAGAACTACTGTTATAACGAATTAAACTTAGTGGTCCCTTTGCGTTCGTTATAACCGTAGTTTACTGTAAGTGCAAATGTTCAATTCACATATAGGACGTAAGGATAAATCATAAGGGTGAATAACTTCTTTATTACAATTAGGAGCGACGTGTCGATGTAGGTTCTAACACCGTTATTAAGCAAGGGATGTACAGAGTAGAGATGACAAGCATTTGTACAGGAACTTAACACATTATTGAATTTAAAGATGAGGTGTGTTGGAACAATATGACGATTTTATTATTTGTGTGATATCCGCAGAATGCCTCTACACGTTGCTTAATTCAATGGGGAGAAAGCGCTTGGTTGGCGGAACCAACACAGGCCTTTGTCAGTATCCCGGACTTGTGTTGTTCAGCGGGGTTGCGTTCCCCTCAACATTCTGCTCTGGCATCCTCCTCAATGAGTACACAATAGCGACATCAAAAGATTGCGCTGACAATTATCTTAATCCGTAAGTATAAGTCAGAGGTTATCTTCACTGGAAGAAATGTTTACCTGAAATGTTTACCTGAATTTGCATTTGAATGTTGGTAAATATCGCCTTCACAAGCATAAACAACTGTAATAAATATGACATATTTACAAGCATAAACAATCGTTCTCAATATGACATAAATATTCATAAACCACCGTTCTAAATATGACATGTTTGAATGCTTGATCAATCATTATTAATTTGACAGTTTTACATGCATAAATGATCGTTATAAATATGACATATTTGCATGCATAAACAATCGTTCTAAATATGACATAAACATGCATAAACAAATGTTCTAAGTATGACATGTTGGCATGCAAAAACAATATTGTAAATATGACCTTATGAGCTAAGCAATGGAAGTTAATGTGACTATATATGATAGCCATGTCCAGTGAAGCAAAAAGCTGACTAAGCTGTGTGTTTTGCTTTAGTAAAGGTACGACTTCTGAATTAAGGTCGGATGATTATCTGTTGTGCGAGATCAGACTGTAGAAGACTAACCTTTTGAATAAATACACACAATGCATTAGAAAGTTAAATTGAGCATGTAATTAGGGTTAATAGCCCTTGCTTACAATGAACGCATGTAGTCGTTTGAAGGATAAAAAGAAACGTTCTGCACCAATGTAATGCAATGACAACTCTGAAGGCAGGAACAGAGAAGGTTTGCAATGAAAAATGTTAAAGAAACACTTTTAGAAATATACATGTACATATACATATACGTGTCAATATACATGTAGATAGTGCGATCTCGTTACTGCAGGGCAGTAGATTCTGCTGGTGAGACATCCTAAGGTTGTTTTTAAATACTGTGGTGAAAGATACTAATAAGGACATTTTTATTCCTATTCCATTATAATTACACACGTTTGGCTAACAGGTGATGTAATCAAATTTACAAAATATGCATTTACAAAAAGCTGACACGCCGTGACATAACTGGAATACTGTTCAAAGCGGCGTTAAACCTAACTCACTCACTCACTCACTCACTCATACATGTTGGGGAAATACTAAGAGATCATGAGACAATTAGCGAGCTATCTTTGTATCAGTAACTCAGTTCACTTGTATGTAAATCTGTACAGCTCTGTCAATGTTACATACCTTTAAGTAAATGTATGTCTAAAAGTAAAGTTTGTAATGTTGATGTTTCTATCAATGTTACATACCTTTAAATAAATGTATGTCTAAAAGTAAAGTTTGTAATGTTGATGTTTCTATCAATGTTACATACCTTTAAATAAATGTATGTCTAAAAGTAAAGTTTGTAATGTTGATGTTTCTATCAATATTACATACCTTTAAATAAATGTATGTCTAAAAGTAAAGTTTGTAATGTTGATGTTTCTATCAATGTTACATACCTTTAAATAAATGTATGTCTAAAAGTAAAGTTTGTAATGTTGATGTTTCTATCAATGTTACATACCTTTAAATAAATGTATGTCTAAAAGTAAAGTTTGTAATGTTGATGTTTTCTCCCAGTGCTGGCCATGTTTTTAGTCGTAAAGAGGAATTGTAGGAGTAGAATCTATATAGGACAAAGTACGGCTCTGGGGTTATGCTCTGGATTGTAGAACCAGGGGATGGAAGGCGACGGAAAGTTTCACGCAAAGACTTTTTCCTCTCAAGAGTAATTAATGAAATGCGGGATCGAATCCCAGACGTGGATTTCATTTATGTTTAATTACACGTGTCAACGTTTGAGAAGAGAAGCCCAGGTCCGAGTTGGTTACAAATTTTGGCGAATCACTTGAGGATGGTGCTGGCAAACAACGAATAAAACGATTCTTGGAGTTATACTTCCTGGCACACCTGAGGCACTCTTCAAAGCGAATCCAGTTGTCTAAGGCACCTCAATTCGCTGTGCAGAGTTGCATTCCTTGGGCATACAAGAAACGTTAAATACCAGTCAATTGTCTAGGTCTGTCAGCACAATACCCGGGCTCGTGCGTTTCCCCAAAGTGGTGAACGGCTTCACTTCGGGCTTTCCTCCCACATTAAGCTGACACGCCCTGATACAACTGGAATACTGTTCAAACTCAATCACTAGCTCACCCAGGTGCCTTTTTTTACCCTCTTTATTCACAAGTTCCCTCTATGCACAGCAGAACGCACAACACAACATAGAAAAAAGCATAGAAAATACCAAAGCAAGGTGCTTATTGTTAATCTCTGAATTCTGGTTTACCATATTCTGAAGCTAATCGCTTCTACTGACAAAATACTGATACTGATCCAGTGACGAACACTTAATTGTTTGATTTTGCTCTTTTTCTAGAATCATGTTGTATGATAGCGTTAAGGCGGTTGTTGGAGAACACGACACCACTGTGGACAACGAGGCAGACCAACAGGATTTCATAATTCCCCAGTATCGTCAGTTCTTGCCTGTAGGAAATGGAGGTAAGTCACATGTAGATAGTTGATCAGAAGCGTATGTCTCTTGTGGTATTTAATCATAATAAGCATAATAAATAATATAGGTGTTAAGCTTCCTTCATCCAATTTAAAGGGGGCACGAGTGGCCCTGTCGTCTAAGGCGCCGCGATTCGCTGTGCAGAGTTGCGTCCCCAGGGCACGCCAGAAACCTATGATTGTGGGCTCGAATCCCGGTTCGCCCCGATTATGTTTCTATAAACGTCTAAGACCTGCTTCACTTCGGGCTTTCCTCCCACATTAAGCTGACACGCCGTGATATAACTGGAATATTGTTAAAAGCGGCGTTAAACCCAACTCACTCACTCATCCAATTTAAAAAAGAGAATCTGAATTATCTCCATTGTCATTGCCTGAATTAGTATAATGGTCTTCTTTCACAAAGTGGTTCAGCATTAAGGAAGCACTCGGAACGTGTTTATGGGTCTTCTTGGCCCTTGGTTTGTAGCACACAACTTACCTTGATTGTTTGTCCAGATGTATATACGTTGACCTTGACGGATCCGGTCACTCAAGGCCCAGTATGTCGTCTACCTGCCTGCGTTCCCAATAACAAGATGACCATCGATGAATCGTCTTGTAAACTGGTCGGTTTCGGTGTTGATGAAACAGGAAGTAAGAACATCTCATTTCATCTTCTCAAGAACAAATTATCAAAGCACAATGATCACATGTACATACATGTAAACGCAAAAGTAACTGCTCATGAATGTTCCTGTTTATCATATTGAGGTTGATAGAAGCACATAAATGAAAACACCTCACTTATATAAAGCCACAGCCATTAAAATTCAAATTCTGCCAAGCACTTCGTGCGTTTTGTGCACAAGTAATGTGAAGAACTTAGTTATACCTACCTTTGAGCTATTGACAGGAAACAGTGATGTACCTGTGCATGATGACATACGTCTTACCAAAATAATTTAGACCAACACAAATGGACAAAGTGTAATCAAGTCAATCTTTTGTGTGCAAGGTGCAAGTCAAGTTGCAAAAGAAGGGCCGATAACCCTGGACCCTACATGCAGTGGTGAGACACTGTGCTCCACAGGAACAGCTGCTGAGGCGGTCAGTTGCCAGGTGAGGCTTAGTCATTCCTCCAATATCATGCAACATGTTTCGACAAAACATACCTGTATCTTAAAAGATCCTTGAATACATGACACTTTGTATGGATAGCTACTTCTTTTATTCTTCGTCACGACATTTCAGAGCTACTACTTGCTCCTTCATCAGGTGAATGTTGAGTAAGATATGATATATCTGCACAACACAAGGCGGGATGAATGTACAAAGATAACAATATATGTATATCCTCATTATATCAGCATTCACCTAATGAAGGAGCTAGAGGTGCTCTGACAAAGAATAAAAGAAGTTGCTATCCATAACAAGTGTCATGTATTCATGTTCTTCAAACTTCTAAATGCTAGCCAAAGACTTCATTAAAGGTACTTGCTCTTCATGTCACCTGTTGAACTTTGTTCTTTATGCCATCAATTGACCCTTGTTCTGCAAGCCACCAACTAACCCCTTGTTCTGGTAGTCACCAACTGACTGTCATTCGGTAAACAACCAACTGACCCTTGTTCTTAATGCCATCAACTGACCCTTCATCTTTATGTAACGAACAGACATCCAACGTTTATGTCACCAATTAACATACTGACTTTCATGCCACCAACTGATTCCTTGTTCTTCATATCACCGGTTGACCCGTATACTTCAAGCGACCAACTGACTTCTTCTGTTCTCCGTGATACCAATTAACGTCTTGACTTTCATGCTATCAACCGACGTTTTGTTGTTGGCACAGTTGATGCTTTGTTCGTCATGCAACCAACTGAAGCCTTGTTGTTAACAAAACAACTGGCGCCTTGTTTTTAATGCCAACAAGTGACCCGTTGTTTCCCATGCCGCAGTTGACATCTTTTCTTTCATGCCACCAACTGACAACTTATTCTTTACATTACCTATTTATGTCTCTTTATGCCACAATTGACGTATTGTCATGCGTTGGTAGATATATATACTTTGGAACAGTATGTAGGTATGTATGCTAGTTATGAAATAACGCATTCAAACGACATGCTTACGTAAGCGTTACTTGTGGATAAAAATATAATGCAATATTCTTAATGTATGCTTTTTTCAGACGGACTCGGGTGGTGCTCTGGTCTGCCTGGAAGCCTACACAGGCGAGTATGTTACCGTTGGACTGGTCAACTCGGTCACAGACTGTTCCACTCAGACGTCAGGGGTTACAAGTTTCGTGAGCTTCATGACCGATTCCACTTATAATTCAATCGTCGTGGCAGAATCTCCTGGAGTCTAAGCAAAACCATATCTCGCATTGAAATATGTAACATGTATTAATCGCTTGAAATCAGGATACAATGTGAAATAAACAGATAACTACATGCAGAGGGTGTTGGTTCCAATCTGTCACAAGAAGATGTTATGTTATG